TATTGGGCTATCAAAAAGTCAATTTATCTTTAGAAGATGTAGACAAGAATTGCATTCTACAAATTCAAGAACTACAGAAATTAAGAAATGATATTTATGAAAAATTTCTAATTTATAAATTTAAACTTAAAGCTTTTCATGATATGATAAATCGTAAAAAAATATATTAAAATCAAAAAATATAGCTTTATAACTCACATTTGAAATAATTTTTGGAGAAACTTAAGTCCATATAGGATGGACCCTTCATTGTTATTAAATTGTTTAATTATGAGGCAATGTTAATCCCATATCCTAAGACAAGTCAATAGTTCAAATTAAATGGTCAATCACTAAAGCCATACTTGGAGAACAAGCCTCAAATATCATGCAGCTCTCTTTAGTTGTAGGATCTTCTACCATTCACACATCCCTGTTAACCTCATGGCCAACATATATCTTTCAAATTTTTTAACTATCAACTTAATCACTTCTTACTCAGTGAATTTTTCTATCTATTACTTAGTTTTCTTTTAGTTGTGTAATGAATGCACAAGTGTGGTTTATCTAGATCCCAAGGCCACCAACATAGAGATTATATGTTCAGCTATAACATTCAAGGTCTAGCCATATCCATTTACTCAATTTGCACATTTTTCACCCTATTGCCTTCTTTCCACATACATAAGGGACATTGCATTGGTTAAGTTGGGGGGATGAGTGTGTGCATATCTTTTAGGTTTCTCTTACAGATCCAATTGTTGAAAAAAAAATTATCTCACTCTTTTGTCTTCCTACAAAAACTAAACCAACTCAGCTCATGTTTAGATTGTGATCAATGTATGTTGATGCTAAAGAATAGTTAATTCAGATTGTCATATTGTCTTCTTCCATGTCAATCTCATGAGCTTGTTTCTTATGGATAAGTCTTAAAAAGAAGGATCATTATGAGTAGTGTTCAGATATTCATGACTTTTTAGACATGAATATCCCATGTTCTAGATAAAGAGCCAATGATAGATCACCCAACATTTTTATGCTCTTATAAAAAATTAGCAGTGTAAGCCCCAAAATCTACATTCAAAATCTTTATAAATAGTTGGACAAAAGCTACCTACTAGAGAAAAAAAATCTAGTTACATAGAGTGTAAGCCCCAAGCACCAATAATGAGGATTTCCCCTCCTTGTCCCATGGTGCCTTCCACATGTGAGACTAAGACAAGCCTTTCTTTACTTGGAAAAATCCACCTACACAACATATAAACTTTGTAAAATAAGCTAGAGTGATCCTAATAAAGCTCAAAATTTAGAATTCTTTAGTGATATCTTGGATAGTTAGGAGTATAAGTGAATTAACAACTAGACAATTCAATTGCTAAATCCAAATTTTATGTGTTGGCTTGTATGAAATAACATTGAAGCTCCACATCAAGTCTTCATGTGTTTTTGTTGATTTAAGTGGTGGCTCATGTTCTAGATCATCAGGAAGCTTTCTTGGAGGAGTAAACTACTTGGCCTTTGTGAAATATAAATGCCTAAGGTTATTTCTTCATTGATTTGATTTACAATATGCTTGAATGGCATGATTAGGGAGAGTTAGTATTATAATACGTAGGATCAAGCCTTAGGACTTAGTTAACCACCCAACCAACCTGCATTTGACCTTCTTTCCATTCCTCTCCTCTAGCCTTGATTCTCAAAGCCTAGATTTTGCCATTTCTTTCTTCCTTTACTTTCTTGATTAGTCTTATAATGTCCCATCTCTTCACTTTACTTGATATACTTATTAGCTGCTAAATTTTATAATCCTCACTTCCTGTGGATCAACTTGGACTTATCCTAGTTACCCTATAGTTAGTTAGAGGCTAGTTATACAGATTTCTTTGATTAAATAGGATCCTTAGACCAAACAACACCTAAGCACAATCTTGCATATCACCCCTCCCTTTATAAGAGGCATCCCTACATCATTTGAACCTCATAACTACTCCTTATAACTAAGTTATGAGATAATGTGGGTATGTTGATGCTTAGGGTAATTTTCACCCTTATTATAATTATTCACAACAAAGAGACACCCTTATTTGTTGTAGTCACCACTCACATGTCTATATTAGTGTTGTGGCATGTCATCCAATAGTGCATCTATAGGCCACACTCTATCACCCTACATTATATCATACCTCATGTCAATGGCCTCCAAAGTTCATACCTCCTTTTGTGTTGTCACAGTCATATATTAAGCTGCAAACGTACTACACTTAATGTATGTTGTGATATGCATGCACTGTGCTACACCATGTCAACGTGTATTGTGCATACATACATTCACATGCAAGGTTCATAGATACCTTATGTGAACCTTGCTCTAACCATTAATATTGTCTATTTGAGTCTTGAGTGTCTGTACACAAACCTTTGTAACACGTACATTTCGTACTGTATTGCCACAAACATGAACAATTGTGATGTGCTTCCATGTATGTTGGATCATATCATGTTGTGCTGACATGCCCTCATTCCACTTACCACTACATAGCCTCATATCATCTCCAAGGTTTCTGTTGGAAGAGGTTTTCATCAAGTTACCTATTGATGAGGCCTTTCAACTATTATGGGTCGATGTCACATTTTCAAGTCATACTCTCTTTGGAACTTTCCTTCCATTTAATGATGAAGTCAACATGACAATTTGTTTAAAATCACCGACCCCAATTGACTTCTTTTATTTAGGAATAATTTCAACTTTGGTAGTGTATTCGACACTCACCATTGGTGGGACCCAATGAAGAAAGTTGCGCTCATTGTTCACACCATCAGCCTAATAAGAATTCAAGAAAGAAACATGAAAGACAATGGATTGTTATTAGTCTCTGTAACTTGGTGAGGCAGTAATCAAACTTATCCACTCTCATCATCACCTTAATTGGGTCATCAAAATGGGTCACTAAGCCATGATGATGCTTGATTTGTCAGTTAAAACTCAACGGTCCAACTAACTCCCCTCCAGGTTTTCTTCATCATTGGTCAACTTTTCCTCACCATTGAAAAAAAATACAACTACCAAAATCTCTCATCAATTAAGCCATGTAGGAGCAAAGCCCAAAGCCAACTCTTCCTACATTACACCTCAATATCAGGTCCAGTAAGGACATGTAGGCCCGATCTTGAAGGTGTGGAGGGGCCAGGATCGGCCCAGTAACGGCCCAGATACCATTAGAGCCCAGATCTGTCCCTATATATACTCTGCGAATACTTCCCTCTAGGCTTTATCAAGCCCAAAAAATATACCGGGCTGGGTTCGGGCTTACCGGCCCACCGACTTCAGCCCGTCCCTTCTTATTCCCTCTTCTCTCTCTCTCTCTCTCTCTCTCTCTCTCCATCTTTCTATCTCCCTGTCACCCTTTGTCCCTTTGACTTCGTGATGAGACGGAAAGGACTCGACAATCAGACTAATATACGCCCCTCAGGGCTTCTAAATATGCAAAGCATTCATAGTTCATGATCCCTCGAACCGCTTTAGGTTTCCTAAATCTGTGATCTTCATGAGCATCCCTTTTTTTCTCTCCCCTCAGAGAGAGAGAGAGAAGAGTCTTTGACAAAGACGGAAAGCGCATGCTGATAGTCTCACCATTCAAGCGTTCGCGAAGGGCTAGGTGACTTTGAGAGAGAAAGCCACAAAACGTTGATAGTCTTGTCAATTAGACCTTGGTAGAGAGCGATTGAGTGAACAATGCTCGATAAACTCTGCTTAGGAAGCCTTATTGATGGTATTGAGCTCGCTCATGCAAGGGGAACGGTAGCAAGGTTCAGGGCTCCACCGCCTCCCCCCCTCCCCCGCCCGATCCATGGCTGTATTTATTTTTAAACTCCGGTCTCCATCTAAAGCGGCAGCATCTGATACGACCGCCGACGGCACACCTCGTCTCTAGCGGGCCATCCCACCCGGAGCCGCCGGCGGGTGCAAGCTTGCAGCGTCGGAGAGATGGCCGTGCGGCAGCCGCGCGGCGTGCGCGCTCGGCGCCGTAGACGCCCCGCTGCGCGCCAACCGTGCGGCGTGTGGGCTCGGTACGGTAGACGGCCCGCTATGCGCCAGCCGCCACGCGGCGTTCAGGATCGGCACAGCAGACGGCCCGCTGCGCGGCAACCATGCAGCGTGTGGGCTCGGCACGGTAGAGGGCACGCTGTGCGCCAGCCGCCACGCGGCATGCGGGCTCGGCACGGTAGAGGGCCCGCTGTGCGCCAGCCGCCACGCGGCGTGTGGGCTTGGCGCTGTAGACGGCCTGCTGCGCGCCAACCACATCGCGTGTGGGCTCCGTTCTATAGACGGCCCGCTGTCCGCCAGCCGTGCAGAGGGCGGGCTTGCGATCGACGAGGGGCCGCTTGGCACCAATCTCCAAGGCTGTAGGTTCGGAACGGCGGGTGGTGCGGGGTGAAGTGTTGGCGGAGCAGAGTCACTCAGGGCGGCAGTCTCGTCGAGGTTTCCTAAGACAGAGCAGAGGAGCAGTGCCAGCAACAGACCCACCAGACCCTTCCCTTTCTCCATCTCTTTCTCTCTCTCTCTCTCTCTCTCTGGCTGTCTCGTATCTCAGTGTACCCTTTTATGGAAAAGAAACGAGGCTGCAAGGATAGGGGCATTTAAGAGTAAGAGAGAGAGAGAGAGAGAGAGAGAGGATGGGAGAAGCGCCAAGTTGAAGCTCTACAGACAGGTAGGGAGAGAAGGATAGTCAGAAGGCTGGAACGATGACACGAGGGGAGGATGGGATAACAATAATAATAACAATAGATTGCTCTAATCTCCATTTGGCTGGAAATGCAGGAACTCAGGAATATCAACTAAAATTCAGGGACAGCAACACCAGAAATGAAATTCTCTTAAAATCCTACCAGAGTTTCGAGAAGACACACCTCTCTTTCTCTCTCTCTCTCTCTCTCTCTCTCTCTCTCGCTCGCTCGCTCGCTCGCTCTCTCTTTCCCTCCTCCAGGAGAGGACGGGGAAGCCCAAATCCAGCCCTCTTTCCTCACTTGTTGCCCCGGAAGAACATGTAGATCTTCTGCATTTGGCCAAGAAACAGCAGTGAATTTTGTCAGTAAAGGGAGGGAGAGAGATTAAGAATTGTACCCATGATTGGGACTCTCTCTCTCTCTCTCTCTCTCTCTATATATATATATATATATATATATATACATATATATATAAACACACAAATTTCGAATAGCAGTTCCTTTAAAAATAAAAAAAAAGGAAGCAAAAAAGGGTGCGTATGACAGCACTAACCTGTAGCACCCAAAAGCTCAGCAGCGTCTCCAGACAGAAGAATCCGAAGCCAATCAGATAGAAAATCTGCAGGCAAACGGGACAAAAGTTCAGGTCAGAAGCCGCTGCGTCACTCGCTCCATTCAAAGGTCAAACATAAAATTCATTTAGGCATCAAAAAACACGAGAGGTTCAATCGAAAACTAAACATTTTCGGAACACTCGCCTCATTCAAGTATTAAAAAAAAAAAAAAAAAAACACATTTCATCCAGTAATGAAGATAAATAAAGGTTCAAACTGAGGCAGCAAAAGCGCACGTCATTCAAAGTCTAACCATATGTTATCTAGAAATCGAAACAAATTCATACATGTCCGTAGGAAAAAAGAAAATCGGAATCAAGACAGGTTTTGAAGAGCGCCAAAAAAAAAAAAAAACCCTCGTACAAAATTGAAGAGCTTGAAGCAGGTATCTCACTCAGCCATCAACAGAGAGAGAGGGAGGTTTCACGAAAATAAATCCATTCAGCATCGCGCCGATATGCCCATCGAACGTGTAATCAAGGGGTAGTGTCCTTGATGGTACGAGATTATCTTACCCCAACTAGGACGTGATCAGAGAATGTATCGATTGCCGCAAGGATGCCCCTGAAAGACGGTAAAAGAGGGGAGGTGGGTCAGAACTTGCACGTTTGCATTCAAAAATAGCAAACAGGCCACGAGGAGTCCAGGATGAGCAAAGAATAAAATAATGGATCACCATTGTGGACAAAAATAGACATCACGGAGGGGATTTTCTTTCATCTGATGATGTTTATATCCCCGTACAATCTCTTCAATTAAGTGACTACATATCTGCGTTTAAAAAAGACGTGAGCGTGCTGATGGCATCACTTGCTCTATTAATTACCATAGAAGCCCGTCCAGTACCGGGCTTGGGGAGTAGGTGCTAGGTCTGAGCCCAAATGAAGTTCGGACCTCGCTCAGGCCTCATGAACGTGCATGAGTGAGAGAGAGTGAGAGAGAGAGAGAGAGAGGGGCAACCACGTGGATGATTGTGGGAAAGCCACGTATGGAGTATATTGTACTCTGTCATGGCAGCTTCCAGTAATTTTTTCACCATTTCCACCTCAATTTGGTCAAGAAAAAAAAATTGGCAATAGATTTCATTTGGGGTCTTTACTTCTCCATGCATTAAAAGCCAATTTTAACATCAGTAATTATGATCAAGCCTTGTCAGCAACGTCATCAATAGAGAACCCTAAATTCAAGATTTTAATATCTTCTTCACGATGCCAAAGTGAGCACCATTATTTTTCTACTATTTTTGGCTTACGAAGAAAATGATGATAGTATTACTTACGTCAGTGACTTCCCCTGGAAGACAATAGGAGGAGCAATAGCAGCAAAAATACAGAAGGCAATGTGGATCTGCACAAGATAATGACAGTAATAAGGAAAAAATAACAGCACGATATATCAGAAATATATATTAAAAAGTCGGCCAAGAAGACAACCAGGTATAGTAAGAAAAACCAGCCAAACTTTAAAGCGCTGTCGGTCCTGTCCAAGGAGAGAGAAATAAGAACATGTTAAAATAGGTTCTCTTTGGTCTAATGCAAGGTAAATAACTGAATGGGTTGCAAGAATTAAGGGAAAATCGTCACCACGTGTTGCTTGCCATCGTGACATAATTTTGACATTATCAAGTGTCCTACTTTATCAGATTCTTGCTTACAAATGAATAGGTGCCAAGGAGAGAAAAAAACCTAGGCATGACTCAATTTTAATAGTTAAAGGTAAAAGGCAACAAAGGTGAGTTTCCATATTGAGCAAAACAATTTGGGACCAGGCGTAAAATAAATATTCAGAGTACTCGGGTCAAACTCTGTACCAGAGGCTGTAGAATGCTTTCAAGTAGTTTGGGGTAAGATTAAAAATCGGGACCATCAGCCAGCAAGATGAACAAGCAAACAAAAATATGATTAAAAACTTGAGAACGATAAGCTCAGAAACCGATGAGTGACTAGAAAGTTTGAAACTCCTCTTTCCAGGCCAGAGACATTTACGTGAGCAGAATTCCTAGAACAGAACATGGCTAACCCTGGATCATTTTATAAAAGTGCACAAGAAAATTAACTCAATAACCCAATCTTGACATTAGTGATGCTAAATATAGATCATAAAGAGATCGTGTATAGATATAGATTATAACTTGTGCAAATTTGACAATTAAGCATAACACGTAAAACAAAAATGAATATCGACTCTTTAGACTTTCGAAGGCCTTAGGTGAAACTTTGCAAATACAAGCGAAGATTTCTTAAACAAGCATATACCTCATTGCTCGATATAGAGGCCTATACCAAAGCACATACGAAAGAGGGCATCCAAGAATTGCATAAATAGCTGCCAGGAAAAAGATCTTCACACCTGACAATAGTGAGATTTCTCAGAAAAAGGAAAGAAAAAAACAAAGCTAAAAGAGGTAGCCATAATGCAGAAAAGCAAGAAGTTTACCTCCTCCTCTGATCCAACAGACAGACACAGCAATAAGATTCCACGCAAGGCATAGTACTATACCTGCAAGCAAGAACAATCATAAGCGAATTTAAATTAATAGAGCAGTAAAGTTAACCAGATTCAATACTCAACTGACATCTGAGAACCACAAAGAATAGATATAATTAAATATCACCATAATCAAGTATCAGCACATTACTCCCAACTCAAAGAGAAGAAATAAGCATAATATCATAATTAATAAACCAGGTCATTAACCAAGTATCTGATAAGAAAGAAATGCCCAGCCAAAATGAGGGACTTTCCACATCACATATGAAGAACGATGACACCAGATCTTATAATGGTGCTCACAAATTATGCACTAATGAATCCCCACTAAGGAAAATAAGTCAGCGAGCATAACGAGCAGCTCTGCATGAAAAACGTCTACACTTGGAATATCAGAAACTTCTGAAGAATATGAGAGCATATCATCAAATTCTCCAATAATAAGTGGCAGCACATAAAGATAAGTTCAAAAATGCCTGTGTTAATGAGATTTATTGTTTTCTATTCATGGGTTTTTTTTTCGCTACAATATCTTCTGCAACATTTGAGACATATTCATCATTCCTGTCCGCCATTTACATTATAGATCCTTCCAATTAACCACTATCAATGTCAATTGCACTCCTCTGATAAAGAGCATCCCACATTCACTAACAACAAAGAATGCATTCAATAAAACATTGAGTGCAACTTTGAATTTCGGGTTTCGTATCAAGTTTCGGTACCTATATATTTTCGAGAATTTCTGGTATTCATATTTTCTTCAAAAGTCATAGAAAACGGACTTTAAATAAGCAGGTGAATGCATCAAAATCACCGCATGACATCATTTTATTGAAAATAATAATTGCAATTTTTAAGTTGTATCCCACTTGGAGAAGACCTTGGAATCACTTAGTTTTTTGCAGCCACTGACTTGGACAGATCAGAATTCATTTGATGGTGTGTTTGATTTCACTTAAGAGAGGATTCGGTAGGTCCAACTTAGGTTTTGGTAGGAGAAGATTTATGGGATACGGCAAACTGATTTTGGCATAAGGTAACCCATCTTTTGGTTTTGTCCAACTAATGACGGGGTAGGGCCAAGTGGTAAGTCATAAGACCATCTTCCATATCAGTGGGACTTGGTCAACTTGTCATTGCATAGGACCCACATGATGGACTGCACCAAATTACCAAGGTGCTGCTCCACTGGGTGAATTTGCCGAAATAATAATGCACGCTAGTCAAGTTCTTGGATTTTTCTGACCAGTAATTGGTTGATGCCCAGTAGTTACAAAGTTCAAAGCCTTCTTTCAACAAATCTTGGGTTTGCCTGATTGATAGAGTGACAGAAAATAGAAGTATCTTAACAACCAACGATGGTCAAAGCTTGTTTACTCGTAAGCCCTAAGCCCTTTTACTGCAATCGCTGGATTTTACCAACTCCTGCAGGCACAGAATCCAGATATTGGATTTGCCCAACTGGTGGTGACGTTAAGCCAACCAGTAAACCCTGCCAACCAGTGATGGGGAAAGGCACAGTTGGTGTTATGATCAGAGCTTTTTCCATAAGACGAATACATAACACTTTCGTCACATGCTCTCTCCAGCATCTAACTATCATCATCAACATGGCTCCACTCTTCTAATGCCAGAGTCGGAGGCTCAGAATTCAAAGGGACAACTTGGCAGACACCTGCAAATTGGATCTCAACATTGCTCTGGCAGGACCAGTTTTGATTGGTGTCCCGTCCTTATCTCCGTTAGCATCAGAGAAAAGGTTATGGAAAAGTATCCTTTAATGAACCAAAAGCACAATCCGGAATGAACATGGAGAATGCTACTTACATTGAACAAACAAGTATAACTGAAAATTTCCCATACCTAACCAGCTTGCAAATGCTAGATATTGCAGCCGCTGTGCATGAATGGGTATCTCCTTAGATATATCATGATGGATTATAGGAAAGAATGGGGGCCAGTTCTTCTCTTCCCTGGGTACACCAGCTGTTTTTTGAATCATAAAAAGCAGTTAAAATTTGCATGAAAAAGAAATCCTATAAAAATATCAACCCGAACTAAACTAGAAATTTAGAAATCACCACTTGTCAAAGCCTCCTCCCTCCTCTTAATCTCCTGTAACAAAAAGAGGGATCAAATAAAACGTTCCGAATATTCAACTTTGGTATGCACTGCAGCACTCAAACAGCAGTTCGGAGTAAAGAAGCATGCTCGTTGTGGATTTTAGTGGATGCTGTAGTGAAGTTGGAGGGAAGTTATCATGAGTGCTTTAGAAGCCCAAGGTCACATAATAACATCGGCACCAGGAAATTGATAGTTTTCTACATATGCATTCAAAAAGGTACGACAAAAAGGTGCTTGTGAATTTTTTTTTTCTCAGACTAATCAAATAGATGAACAAGGAAATCCTGCTCTGGAATCTTCATGACAAGCAGAAGATAAGAGTCACTGCAATAGATCGATACTGGTGTAAAAAACATCAAGTAACCTGTAACAGCACAACTTTATAGTTAAGATTATGCCCGTAACTTCATTCGTTCATAGGATAAAGAGCATTATAGAATGTGAAAGGAAAATTTCAACATGCTGAAAACAGATTTAGATGATATTTAAGCAAAAAACTATCGTGTATCAACTGTGATTCAGTGTCACAAGACTGCTCAATTCAGATTGACTTGACCATGCAAGAGAAGATAAAAATCCGAAAATGGCCATCACCCAGGTTGCCCTAAAAAAGTAAACGTTGGAAACTAACTTGAGTTTTCTAGTATCTTTTATATATTTTTTATTACTTTTCTTTAACAAGTATCTGACAGGGGTTGGAATTAAGAATTTTAATCAGGACCAACAAGTTGACCATATAGTGATCACAAAGAGCACGGTAGGGCAGATATCTCATGTATTGAGGTACCAATAAGAGGAAGTAAAGCAACTAATCCTCATAATCAGGAAACAAGGAAAACTATACGTTATTACTTAAAAAGTAAATAACCTTTCTGAATTTCCAAGGAAAAGGATAGCTTGATAGAAATAACGTTACCTTTTCTTTCCTTTTCAATTCTGCTTCCCAGGAGGCAAGATCTTTCGCCTTTTTCTTAGGATCCTGAAAGAAACCAAGAGCATATTGCTCAAGAATATATCCAGTGATAAATACACATGACATCCGGTGTTTATATCAAAACTGACCACCTACATGTATGTTTTCCAGAGGTATGTCAACTGTTGCATCATGCCTGTTGCCGTATCCAAGAGGGTCAGAGGTCAGAGGCGTAGGGCGTGCTTTTGAGCCTGCACCATTCTATAACAAAATACATACATGAATGTGTGCTTGAACCAATAAGGACAAGACTTCACCAACACTAATTCTGAAATAAAACATGTCAACCATCATTTCAAAAGGGGAAAACCATTTTAAAACAAGAACGGATGTTGGATCCCAGGTGTTCACTTACAGCACAAATAAACCTATTTGTTGTTAAATATCGAATGTCTAGCGAATTCTCTTGTATTGCATAAAAGAAAGGGAACTTTTTTAAAAATTTGAACGACTTACATAATTCTAGTTACCTAATAGTATATAATCACCGCTTACCTAATAGCATGAAAATCATGCACCACAAATCAGCCTTAGCTGGTCATCACTTGTGGAAACGTCATGTACGCCAAAATAATCAATAGCTACGAAGGCATTAATAATATTTTTTTTTAAGACAGAAAGGGTTGCACCACAGCTGGACTACGAGACAAACAATGTTAGTTTACGCCAAAAAAATCAATAGCTGCGATATTGCCTTCTGGATATGTTCACACAGAACAGAAGTGCGCTTCCTCCTCAGGACCTCTTTAATTTATTAGGCTGTTCTTTCCAAAATTTCGATTTTATCCTGTTCTTAAACAAACTCAATTTCAATTATTATAATATTTTCAAATTCTGAATCTGTCTCATGCGTGCGAGAAGAGCCGCTAAAAAGACAACAAAGATGCCCTGTTTCTTTCTATTATGGTTTACTCTATTGCCTACAGTCAATTCAAATGGAAAATGCAGAACACCCTGCGCTATACCAACGGAGAGGGGATTTCTCAGGCAGGTCCCAAAGTAGTCCAACCCTCAGCCAGGCAGTGTTCGCTTCCTTTCGGCGCGTCAACCCGTGACCTAGTCGCAGAGAATGCGGCACTACATCTGATAGAATCTCACCACTGCACCAACACGTTTCGCTACACACTGAGACTGAAACGGAACGATATTCTTCGAGATTCTGAGGGAAAATCTCGTTGCTCGGAAAGCAGAAGCATATTTCCGTGATCCCTGCGTCTTCTTTGTATCCGGTCAATAGAACCACCCTCGCTGTAAGACTCCAGAACCTGTGATACCGTCCTCCCAGGGATCCCACGTGGAATCCCGATAAGACAGACTATGCGACTAACCGGGAACTCTATAGATCCACCGATACGCCGGCATTTTCCGAGCAGCCTGTAAACATCCGGAGCACACATCTTCGGGGAGCGCTTCCCCCGGGAAACGAAGACCAAAAAAACCCAAGAAAAGCGAGATCCAGACCACACCGGCGCCACATGGCGACAACTCCACCTCAAACGCGGCTAACAAAACGAGACTCGAACAGCGGACAGACAAGAAAGGGGGGAGCGGGATTACCGCGAAGGGATTCACATCCTCCTCCTCGAAGGGGTTTGGATCGTCGCGACGATTCATCTCACCACCACCACTGACGCCGCCGCCACCGCCGCCGCTGTCGCTCCTTCTTCCGCCCCCTCAGATCCGCCGCTCCACCGCCACCAGGGGAGAACGCCGGCGAGTCCAGAGGCGAGGTGGAGAATGAGGAGGGTAAAAAGAAGGTGCCGGCGGATGGATGGTGGGCCCGACACAGCAGAGGCACTTGTGTTGACGTGTCGTAGGAAGCGTGCATGTGACGGCTAGCCGCCACTTTCAAATGCCAGCGGGATTCCCAAACTTACCCTACAAATTATTGTATTTTCATTTATACCCCTTCTATTACAGACTTTCTACCACGTGTGACCCATTACTTTGCACATGAGAAGTTAATGACATCTCCCCGCACGGCATTATCTGTCCCGCCGTTGACGTTGATCGATTCTGAACAGAAAATGTCTCTAATTGTCCGATCACTTCCCATATTTGCATTTATACTCATTTATGTTATATGCTTCCTCCACGTGTGATCCATTATTCTGCACCCGCGAAGTTGACTTGCATTGAGTTGACAATCCTGAACTACTCCCCCGCTCAGATCCATCTGATCCCGATCTGGGCCGCTGTGGATGTTGATCAATCTCGAGTTAAAATTGACGGCGATTGATCTGACTAGCTCGACCACGTTGACCCTTAAAAAGGTCGTATACAAGTGCAGTCAACTAATCTGCCTGTTCCATTACTACAGGAATATTCATTGACCGCGAATTGAAATCGATAGTAGCTGAACGGACCCGTTAGGTTGACCTTCTGCGGTGTGGTTTGAGTCTCAATGGGAACCTTGGGGAGAAATAAAAGAGGATTTTTTTTACGGGGTATTGGTCGACCGCGCTTATAAATACCTGAATTGTTATAATTAATAGTTTCACAATAAATACGACATAAAATCACATAAAAATATAGTACCAAGAAATTTGTTTAAATTTTATTGTCGAATTAAATGTAAATATTACACCTCATTCAAGGGGTTCTCACCGTTTGTTTCCCTCACTTTTTTCTTATGTTATTGATATCACGTATGTTTATCACCATAATGATAATGTGAATTTAAAACCAATATATATATTATCACTATTATAGTTATTGATATTATTATCTAGCCTTGAGAAAACATGCAATTATTCAAACCTGAAAGTTTTGAAAGCACTTAAATCGAGAGGATGGATCGGCCCGTTGACTTTTATTGCTTGACCCCCAAATCACTGACGCTTCTCATGAACAAATCGCTCTCAACAAAAATGTATATGTCATTTATTTATTTATTTTAAAAATAAGTCAATTTTCTCCATAACAAATAAGCTTTCAAGATGTCACTATATTCCTATTTTTTCCCCAAAATTAGGTGATATATTTGGCATCCACATAAGGAAAAAAAAACTATAATTTCCCCTTAAAAAATAGAAATTCACCACATAACATAACATCAATAGGAATGTAGCCCAAGAGTGGAATTAAATAAATCTCCGTCAGCAAGCAGATCATACAGCAAAGAAAGAAGGCTGCCCTTGAACGGGTGACCAATGAACCACTTTACTACTAACTATGCCCTCCCGGGGAAAACCAGCAGGGGCACACCGAGCAGCTCCAGGCTGTTGTTCCTCGCCGACCTGGGCTTCCACAGCCCTTGAACGAATTGGATTTCCCACCGTGCAAGTGATTCAGACTGTTCTTGAAGAGGCTGCAATGTGTGGGTCTGTCTGTGAGTTCTTCATTGACTTTCATTCGTTTATGCAGGAAAGGCGCCGGGAGACTGTCAATCTTCCTCGGAGTTGTCGAAGGTGATCTTGGTAGATTTGGGCGCGTCGATCCCAATCTCCTTGAAGTGGGATCCATATAGCTTGGACTCCTGAAGGGAAATAAATAAATAAAGGTTATGATATGTCCTTCAGAGGGGGAATGAGCCAATGGTGATCATCTGGGTTGGAACTGCGGCTGATGCCCATCAATCGGTAGAAAAATATATCCAAGGCACAGATTTTCATGAAAATTAAGAACAAGATAATACCCATCAATCGTGTTTAATCTGTGGTTATGTGGATATTTGCAATTTGTTTGATGCTTCTCAAGTACTACGAAATCACTTGCTCCATTCTGAAAACATCCAGATTTGTGTCTAAACCTGTACTCAATCTGTGGCCGTGAGAATAATATTCGTAGCTCGCAGAAGCTTCATTTCTCACTTAAAATAGTAATTTAATTAAAAAAAGGTATAATTCACAGATTCTTCTCAATTAGGGACATCAATAATACCCATCATCCCTGCTATTTAGAAAAATATTTCATAATGAAAGATATTTATAGCTTGCTGAAGCTTCATTTCACATTTAAAATAGTAATTTAATTCAAGAACATGTATAATTCACAGATTCGTTTCAATTAGGGATATTAATATTACCCATCATCCCAACTATTTAGAAAAATATTTCATAATGAAACCACCAAACCCAAACATCTGGTCAACATTTCGGAAGAAGAAAAGCCTGAACATCCGAGGAACATACCTTCTTCTTGACATGAGTACCGAATTTTGTGAGCGCTTCAGGTACAATCTGCCCAGCTTCTCGGAGAACATTTACAAGCTCTCCAGCGAGGCCCTATAATATTAATAGAAATTAAGATAAAAATAATGAAACCCTTAGATCTGCTTGGAACACACAAAAAAGGCTTGGAACATACCTTATTTTCCCTCATGAAGAAAGTGTGAGCAACGCCCTTCTTGCCTGCACGACCTGTTCTCCCGATTCTGTGCACATAATCCTCTGTGGTGAGAGGAAAGCTATAGTTGATCACCACCTCCACATCAGGAATATCCAGCCCCCGAGATGCAACATCCGTGGCAATCTACAGCGAGAGAGAGAGAGAGAGAGAGAGATTATATTCATTGCGATGCCACCCACTCAGAAGAACAGTTGGATTCACACTTTTCTCTCTCCAAGATATGAAGTGCAAGCAGCTGGGGTTGGGGTTTAGTGTTTATCCCTCCCACAACTTTGTTTTCCCAATGTACAAGTCATACTGTGTGAAGATTAACGAACGAGTCCATGCAATCTAGAACACGGCTTACCATTAAAGGGCATTTTCCATCCTTGAACAAGGAAAGAGCCTCTGTACGAGCATTCTGAGCCTTGTCGCCATGAACGGAAACGACCTTCCAGCCTCTTCAAAAGCAGGGCGAGCGAATCCGCACAAATCATTAATCACGAAACATTGCCTAACACTAGATACTACCCAACGGTAATGTAGATAGAAAATGAGAGGAGGATTCGCAAATTTTGAACATGAATGTAAGTGGCCGGTACCTCCTCTGAAGCATAGTTTCAACACGAGCTGCTTCCTTCTTGTACAACACAAAGACAAGCACTCTGTTGCTGTTCAAAGATTTTAAGGTAAAGAGTCACATGCATGAATGTGCAGGTAAACATTAATACCACAATTGTGGACAATTAACGGAAAATAATCAAATTCTGAAAAAAGATGCTCACCAGATTACTGGCACTGTCCGGAAAAAAGGTACAACATCATACTATAATTGGAAGGGCAGTGTAAAATGGGAAAAAAGAGTCGCAGAATATTGGCATGAAATAAATATTTAAATGATCGGACAATCCATATTCCATAGTTTAGATGGGTTATAAAAGTTCAACAAGTTTGTAGGCAGATCAAGGGCATAGGAATGCAAATGCAAATGGTCTTGGTCCATAACAAAGCTGTCTTAAATTTCTACCTGAGACTACAAATATTTTCATGAATGAATCCGAATTCAGCCGTACATTTTTGACTTTTGACGGAAATCGAACTTTAGATCAGGTTGACTTAAATAAATTTTCTTTCATCTTTTACCAATGTTAGGATCTCATATAGTATTTAAACATAAATACCCTCCCGTACAGTGACAACTATGGGTCTAAAATACGTATACACAGGCAGTTAGTACGTGATCTAAGACAAATGGCTAGCTGATCGGCTTTGAAGAAATCATGACCATGCTTCTGATTTCTACCTCTCCATTTCTGTCAATCAGAAGCTTCTAGAATATTATTAGAATTCAGCCATTCCCCTTAATTGCAAGGACGGGCAACAACGCAAGCTGCTATATTATCCGGAATATTGTTGATGTTTCATGCCAATAAATCAAACAGGGTTCCACCCATATTTCAGAAGGAAGATGTAAAATGGCATTGAACAAGAAGGGAGAAAAATTATATCAAAAGTAAGGCAAAACTGACTACCTTTTAGATGTATGGTATTTCTCAAGCAAGGAAACCAGACGCTTATCACGTGATTGATCATCCAAAACCTGAGAAGGGGAACTTACATACAATCAGTTTTCCATCTTCAGATAAATAGAGAAAATAATAGCAACAAAATTATCGGGTCATATGCCACGGCATGCAATATACCTCAACTATCTGCATTACATCATGATTAGCAGCCAAGTCCTCCGATCCCACAACAACCTGAATTGAATCAATTATTAGGAATGGACCAAGCTGTTAAAAAAAGGGGTTAAACCTCACGTTAAGAAGCATACTTTAACTGGATCCGGATCCATGAACTCCTGAGCTAGCTGGTGAACAGCTAGAGGCCATGTTGCACTAAACATGACCATTTGGCGACCTGGGAAAGGAACATAATTTTACATATTAAACCCTTGCACATAGCTATCTGTTAAACCATAAAACTTTTAACTTCCGTCACCAAATTTATCACATCGTAAAAAACCATCAATTTCATCTACGACTCCAAACTCCCAATCAGTAAGTCTCATTGAGAGATATCTTGTTAATTGACCATAAAAGCATGTGCAAAAAAAGTGAAACATAAAATATATTTACACTGTTTCACTAAATTTGGTATGCTTAAATCAAAGTTCAATTAATTTTTCAGCGACGTACTAACGAGAGTTAAATCAAATACACAACTGCCTTCTGATTTGTCTGCGTGAGTAGGAGACGAACAAGACACAACCCATAAATAAGGATGTTTCCACAACCCAAAGTGCATTGGAAAGTTTGGGAAGAAGACAAGGATGGAGGATAAATTTGATGATAGTACAACAAGTGAAGGACGGGAAAATATAAAAAAGAAGACTGGTACGTCGTACTACTGACATCCAAAGGGAAAACATTATTTTACTCAATTTTGCTCAAGAAACAAAAACAATCTGACATGAAACTTGATCAACATCTTATTTGATAAAGGCAAAAGCTCTTGTTATTATAGTCAACTTCTTAGACTGCCAATAGAAATAACAACGAACTATTAGCTAATAGCCATTCACCCTACTGGTTACTTAAGAGAACTAAACCATTTAGAAAGATATAAGTTACGTCAAACTAGACAATCTTGCAAAGAGCAAACATGGAGCATAACTTGTATAAAAGGAAAAGAAAGAAGTCACTAACTGGAACATGTTTGACTTAGGATAGACCGAACTTCTGGCTCGAATCCCATGTCAAGCATTCTGTCAGCTTCATCAAGAACCTATAAATAAGTCCATGATCAATTTCATCAAGAAATCAAAAATTTCAAGAAAAGACAAATAACCAAGTTATTCAATCAAGCATTGTAAAGCAAAGCGTTGAAATGAGACAAGAAGAACAGAGTATTAAAAAAGAAATCTTCCTCCATTGAAGAAAGGAGGCGCATTGCTGAATACGTGACCAACAATGGCCAAATCTTTCAATAATTTGTATGAGTTTCCATTGCACAAAAGAGTTTTCTATCAAGGACTTTCGTCCTTGTATATCATTGGCAAAGATCTAAAGGCTCCAACCAAAAAAAAATTGAAAAGAAAACTCTGGAAGAAGAAATAGGGAAACCACTGGGATTGCCTAGTACGCTCTCATCTTATTCCAGTTCTGTCTAGGACAAAACCACAATTTCCTAACAACAAGAATGGCAGTAAGGCATCCTTCGGATCAGAATGGTTGCCCACAGGTGCACAATTTTCAGTTTCAAAAAGTAATAGAAAAAGTTCAAGTCGACATCAAACTTGCAATATGAATGAAATGTAACTGCAAGCTTCGAGTGAACACCAAGGCAAAGCACGATTACCTAGGGAATCTAGTCAACTCAAAACAAATAATAGATACAAATCTCCACAATAATATAATAATACGAGCTTTCCACACAGTATTGTTTACCCTCCAAAAACCTTTTCTATACCGACCAGTTCCAGTTTCAAGAAAAATTATAGTTCCACATCAACGAAGTTATTATTGAAGAGGCAGTGATAGTCTTAGGAGACCAAGGGCAAAGTAGACTGCGGATGAAAAACGACAACAACAGCAGAGGACTTTTCCCTTGCCTGCCCTCAGCATCGTTCTTTTTAGTACATGTACTGCAAAGTATGCAAATTGATCACTATATAATGTAAAAACAGCCAAAAATAATAAAAACAGTAAGTAACATTCAAACAAATTTGAAAGCTTGGATAAAAGACACAGTTCCAGTCTAGTGACCGGAAAATCGAGATCAAAACTACAGACCTCAAGTTCAATCCACCCATTATAATAACATTCTTCTAGACATTTTAACATCAAAGATAAGAAACATCCAACCAAGACAAGTTCATAAGCATGAAATCATAACAAAAATCAGACGAACATTCACCGTTAAAAGTGTTAAAGTAAGATAAACCTTTTATCATGTTGCCACATTATACTCACCGCAAAAGAGACATCCTTGAGATTGCAAACCCCCATTTCGATTAAATCTTTCAAACGGCCAGGAGTCGCAATAACTATGTCCTGAAACGATAGAGAAAGATCATCATGGAAAAATTAGACTACACCTTAAGAAAAAACTCTGGAACGAAAAAGGCAGTTCTATTTGTCTAAAGAGCTAAGAATCTCAAAAACTAAACTCCACTTCATACAAACAAACTTGCATGACAGTAGTAAATAAAAAGAAAAAAGGAGAGCAAACAAATGTGACAGACAATTCTCTTGGTTCAAAAGATCCACTGGCAGAAAGAGATGTCATTTTAGAGATGTTGACTGCAGAAAGTAACAAAGATAGGATACCTATAGATTCATTAAAAAAATCCACCGGCCACATTCAAATAAAAGCACAACAATTTCGACGACAGCTAGGTAAAGTATACCTCAGTCCCTACTGAAGAAAACTGTTGCTTGAAGCTGTAATTCATAGTCAAACCTCATTGTATTCATATCCTTTTTTGTAAAAAGGTCTGAGAACCATATAAAGTTGTCCACTTCTCATTTAGTTTCCTTGGTTTTACACATCAACAAGGCTTTTCCTCGGGTTGACAGACCTGTCAATCCTCCCTTTACAGGGGCTAGCTGATGATTCAGCTGTCCTCCCTCCCTCCCGCACACACCATCTCTCTGCACAATCCTCCCTGTTCCACCAACCACTACTAACCTCCAAAGAAATTATATCAATTTATCAACATTAATACGGCCTTACAATCAAGGAAATAGAGCTTCAAGGTACAAAATTCTCCATAGGTTGACCTCCCCATCTAATTTAGAGATCCAGAGTAGTCTTTTGCACTAAAATCCCATGTTTCTAACTTTTAACAAGATATTTGAACGCTTTCTCATCTGAAATCCCATGCTTTTAACACTTCTACAAGTTATGATATCTGAAAGCCTATTGTAGATTAAATTGTGTAATCTGACTAGGATTTGAAGCTGATCGAACTGATCTACTACTTACACAAGACCAAATTAAAGGTTTGGAGTCTTTCTTCTTTCACTGTGTTTGAGTGGACACAAGCCTTGCATCTAGGGAAGGGTGCTATCATCTTATTATAGAGTGTCCAAACAATTCCTCTAATCTCATACATTTCTGGAGTTACTGCATTAATTGGTAAGTTTGAAAAGTTTTGTATAAGCTGTCATTTCTCCAATAGTAAAAGTTAATTACTTTTACTATTCCTTTGCTGCCTCAAAAATAACATCGGATGTTCCTCTTCACAAGAGAATTGGCAGATGGCATACTTTAAACTTGATATAAAGTGGCAGTACCCAGGGCAAATAGATGAGTTTTTCTACTGCCAAGGTTCAACAGTCTCTAGAGAGAAAAGAACATGCAAATTTAGAAGGGAACATGAAGATGCAGTCAAGATTTCAGGCCAGGCTTGTGACGAGATCACAAAGCGTGCAAGATGTCGGTGTGACGAGGAAGGATCATTTTGGAGATAACTGCACTTTTAATATGACCTACGCCATGTTGGGATAGGACAAAGTTCTCTTTTCGTAATCAATTATTAATGGTACTATTCACTTCGCAAAAAGTTATACAGAAGACTGGGCTGTATCCTTAAATGGAATCATTAACTAGCTCAGAAAAATTGATCTCATTTCCAGGAAAAGAGGACGATCTAAACCACCGCTTTCACTGATAGAGCCACACGGTGGAGCACTTTAATTCTATTAAATTAAAAGAAACAATAATATACTCAGGGAGACACAAGAAAGCAGAAAAAAACTATCCACACTTTAGCAGTCCAGAAATAAACGTCAAATAGCAATAAATACAGTGAAATGAGCACAGGATCCACCAGCTTCCATAGACAAATGCTGCTTCTTTTTCCCCAAGGAGAAGAAACTGAGCACATAGGAACAAAGGATGAGCATCCGAAAAAATAAACAAAGCATGTGGCATCCCACACCAAAATAGTTTACATACATTTCTTTCTGGGGACAAGAATACTCACGCTCCATGCAGGACGTTTCTCAGTGATAATTTAGTTTTACACAAGATAGACAGCACAATAGATTTCATTTTGTCAAATATTAAAAGTGAATGGAACATATTTAAGATACGTAGTTATCGAGCATGAAAGTGAGACATTTCACCTGGCATCTACCTATTTTAATGAATAGGACTCTAATAAAGCCTCATCAAAATTCAAAATCTTACCACTCCAGACTTCAGTGAGGAAATTTGTGGTCCTTTGGAAGTCCCTCCATATACGCAAACAGATTTCACACCACAAGAATTACCAGCATCACATAGAACATCAGCAATCTGCCATCAAATTGCAAGACGAAGATATAAAAGTGTTATGAAGCTAACAGAATAACAGAGAGTACAATTTTATTCTGTAAGTGAGTAAATAAATTTGCAATTTCATTAGTTATCAGGTTTAGTAATGTCTTGGGTCAGCAAAGACGGCATTAACACCTAAGTCAGAAAGTTGAAAAGAAAGGTCTTCACTACACGTGATAAAGCAGTACACTTTTTCTCTTTTTAGTGAATAGATAAATTCACGATTTCACTAACTATCTGGTCCTAGTTTAGGATCTTTTCACCCATAAAATAGTAAGCACGCAAAGCTAGCATAAGTATCCAAATCAACTAGTTAAAAGGAAGAATTTTGCAGTTCATCACTTGATATTGTAGTTAATATGGGCATGCTTCTCTCATTTGAAGTTGAGCAGTTGGTCTCAACAATCATTACACGATCCATGGATAGGCAAAGGCCTTCAACGAGCTTAATATGGACTTGTATACTAAGTCTATCCTATGTTCTGTTTCCGTGGAAAAGCAGGTTCAAGTCATTATCCGACTAAATAAACTGCGAAAATCAATAAACGATTTTCTGAGCGTCTCCCATGCAACCAATCGCCCTGAGTATAAGAAAACGAAGCATGTGATGTTGAATATCTCTGCAAGAGATATCCACAATGCCTTAAAATTTCATACATCTTCTGAGAAATCAGCTCAGAAGTACAATCTGAGATATTGAACACATCATCCACATGCTTAATAGCACCACGCGCATTGCAAAATGTAAGACTTTTTGTAGGAATCTATTTTCAAAACTACAACATTATTATCCTTGGTGAGTCCCTAAATTAAAGCCATCAAATTGTTCATGTCATCTCAAACTTCTTTCTTAATTCACATTCAAATAAGAAGCTAGCTCTTTCTACCCATCAAAAAAATATCCAAATTTCTAACGTCAAATTTCATGTATTTCATATTTTTAAGGAGAAAGATGATGGCTCTTAGTAAGAAGATAAGTATACTGAAAACTTCAGTTATATGTTTCTCACTGCCAAAAAGATGCCAACCATGAAGCAAAATTCTAAAAGTACCCACCAAAACAATAGCAAAGCCAAAAAAAAATAAAGGAGATAAAAATCGAATATCTGGCATTTCCCTTGAAATCAATTATGACAATGCAGTGAATGAGTACGAAAATAAACTTCTAATAAACTACAACACATTGGACATTGATGAATTAAAATGTCTTTGCCTACTTCTATGAGAAAAGTATACATATTGGAAATTGAGAAAGCCCACATAAATACTTCGCATAAGAATTCTGCACAGAAAACTCGATTAACTTGTCAAATCCAGGGATGAGAAATAGAAATTCACCCCACAGTGTGCATAACAAAAATTCAGCCCTCAATATGTTTGCAATTCCACGATTTTAATGATTCATCTATTCACATCATTATCTATTTAAAACAGTCCCATAATACGAGTAACAGAAGAAATAAACAAGGCTACAAAAAATCAAACTAGTTGAGAGGATAATAGAGCCAAAGATGTGATATTTCGAACCAGAATGACAAGCAAAAATCATTCCGCACAGACATGAGGGATCTCTTGATTAGAGAATCTGAGGCCATCATTTCCCAAAAGATAAAAACAATGTCTTGTATAAAATGTTTTCAACATCCTCGGAGGAATCAATTAATGTGATAATTATTCTGACAAGAGATATGTGAGGACATGTCATTTGGGATCAGACTGACATGCAAAACTCATTCAGCACAAATCAGGGTGATTCCTTCATTCAAAAATGAGATCTAATCATTTCCCAAATGATTAAAAGAGAATGTATGGAATAAAAACAGAGTTTATCATACTGAGACAGGGGATTGAGTAATCCAATAGTTCTTCAGAGAAAACGGGTGGCCATTTGCGAACAGAATGGCCAGCATAACTCATTCAACACAGATTAAGATGATCTCTTGATTCAAACATGTGATATCAGCATTATCCTAATAATTTAAGAAGGATATCCCGAACAACACATTTCATCAAGCTGAGACACGGGAAAAAGTAATCCGATAATTCTTCAGCGAAAAGTGTGCTTATTTGGGATCAGACTGACGTGCAAAATTCATTCAGCACAGATCTAGATGATCTCTTGATTCAACTATGTAATCCCATCATTTCCCATATGATACAACAATGATATCATGAACAAAAAAAGATGTTCTCACATTTGGGGGCAACTAGCATGGAGAAAGGGAGAGCGAGAGAAATAGGTATCTGGAATCAGACTGACGTGTAAAAATCGGTCATTACAGATCTGGATGATATCTTGATTCAAAGATGTGATTCCATGTTTTCTCAAATGATTCAAAAAGGATATCTGGAATGAGAACATATATCATTACATTTGAGAGACGGTTAATTGATATGGTGATTATTGGGATCAGACTGAGTGAAAACTCATTAAGCACAGATTAAAGTGATGTCTTGATTGAATATGAGATATCATCATTTAACAAATGATTCAAGGACTTCTCAACTAAAAAGCATATTTCATCAAACTACGAAGGGAATTATTCCTCGTATCAATTCTTCAGGACAAACAGGTGGGTATTTGGGATCAGACTGACGTGCAAAATTCATTCAGCACAGATCTGAATGATCTCCTGAATCAAATACGTGATCTCATCATTTCCCAAATGATACGACAATGATATCTTGAACAAAAACAATTCTCGGAATTCCCAGGTATCAACTTATCCGTGAACTCTCAAGAGAATGGGAGAGCGAGATAAATGGGTATCTGGGATCAGACTGACGTGCAAATTTGTTCAACACAGATCTGAGTAATCTCCTGATACAAAAATGAGATTTCATCACTTCCCAAATGATACAAGAATGAAACCTCAGCGACTAATTCTCATGTTAATTCTTCAGAAAAAAAGGACATTGAGACTAGTAGGTACTTGGGATCAGACTGACGTGCAAAAATCATTCAGCACGGATTTGGGTGATCTCTTGATTCAAATCTGTGATATCATCATCTCCCAAGGGAAACAAGAGGGTTTTCAAATGATACAAGAAGAAAACCCGGAACAAAAAACATATTTCATCCCCAGTGATACTGGGATTAATTTTCATGTTATTTCTTCAGAGAAAAAGGACATTGAGACTAGTGAGTATTTGGGATCAGACTGACGTGCAAAAATCATTCAGCACAGATATAGGTGTTCTCTTGATTCTAATCTGTGATATCATCATTTCCCAAGTGATACAAGAGAGTTATCAAATGACAAGAAGATTGCATAAAATGGAGACAGATGATAAAAAAATGCACCAATTTTGGGAAGAAAGAGTGTGAGACAGGTAGTACTTCGGGTCAAACGGATGTGCAAAAAACATTCGACATAGATACAAGGAATCTCCATATGTAAACATCGGACACAGTTTCCCTGGTGATACATCAAGGGTTCTCATAGAAAAATAGATTTCCTCGACGTAAAAAAGCGTTAGTTAATGCACAAGTTCTTACAACTTTTCCGGCAAGTAGTCTTGTAGAATCTAATAATGAGATAATTAGTTAAAAAGGTAAAAAAAGTAAGCATCGTGATTACAGAGAAGGTCAATTGCGAAAAACATGACCAGTGAAATAGTAATTGGGGTGATTGGTATCCCATGCTATGAAATATGAAACACCGAATCCGACACTGAAATTAGTGGGCATTAGGCCTGGAAATTAGCTGTCCTACCCAATGGAAACTGACATTTTCGTGAATCAGCCAAAAGACCACGGCATGCAAATTGGACAAGCACTAGTTGATTAAAAAAAAAAGGCAAGAATAAATAGTATAATAGAATTTAGAATAGTATCTACCTGTTGAGCTAACTCCCTGGTGGGTGATAGCACAAGACACCGAGGGACCGGTTTCTTCAGCTTTCCGGCCTCTTTCTTCTTCAATATATGCATAAGCGCAGGGACACCAAACGCCAGAGTTTTGCCTTAAGAAAAACAGCTGTCGATTATTTCATCAACTAGACGCACATAAAAAACAGTAGTGCAGGAAAAATAAAGAATGGGAACGTAAAAACGAGCATGATGGGCAATATGGCACAAAAACCTCACCTGATCCAGTAGCAGCAATACCCACAAAATCCCGTCCGTCCAAGAGGAAAGGCCAAGCATTCGACTGGATCGGGGATGGCTTGCTAAAGTTCTTACAGCACTCCATCACGTTGGCGGGAAGGCCAGCGTCAGAGAATGTCTTCAGGGCAGCATACTTGGAATCCGTCCAATTCTTCCCGGAGACGGAAACACCCATCGCTCCCACCGCCTCCTCCCTAACCCCGATCCCTTGTTCTATTCCCTTAGCCACATTATTCCCCTCGTCCAACTTCTTCCTCTTCTTCCTACTCGCGCATCCATCGTCTATGCCCCCTATTTCTCCTTCTCCAGTTTTCTCCCCCTCAGTTTTCTTCTTCTTCTTCCTCTTGCTCTTCCTGTTCTCATCATGGGGCCTCCCGTTGCTCTCGGGCGCCTTCACTTCCGCGGGAAAGATCTCCTCACTCCTCTTCTCATCCCTCTTCTTTTTCTTCTTCTCTCGATTCTCCAAACTGCCGTTGCTGTGGGGGGCCTCCATTATCTCCGGACCTGCGACCTCCTCTCCGTAGCCGGCGAGCTTCCTGCCCATAGCAGGAGAGGCAGGCGAGGTCAGGGAAGAAAGGAGAAACCCGAGTAGAAGACGTGGAGACGTAGGGTTTTAGGGCGCACTCGTTCCGTTTCCGCAGTTTATAAATACCATTTTTATCTCTTTAAATTACAAAAATACCATTAACCCTCCACTCTACCTACGCCTATGTGCTCTATGTTCACTTCTTAACCTAATTGGCCTCTAATTGTATCTATAAAAGGAAAAATATGTTATGTATTTGAAGCTATTCCAATATTTATGAAGAGTGCATAAAAAATTATCATACACGTGTAAGTGGTTGAACAAGATAGGCTCAAGGGAAGGTGCTTAAGAGACCCCTTAAGCACAATGTTGCATGATTAGGCATGGTTTAGGTGACATCATCACGACATAGTACAATGTCTGCATGGTGCAACACCTCCTAGTAAGGCAGATGACAGTGCTAGTTCTTTTCTTAATGAGGTTCAAGAGAGAGTTCCTCATGATTCCAGAGATGTCTCGCACTATGTGCTATGGCAATATCATATTATTAGTGGTGCCATCATAACACAGTGTAGTGTCAGAGACCATGTTAATCCTTAACAAAGAGTTCCTCATGATTTCAGAGACCTTTGACACTATGTGGTATGGCAAAGCATATTAAAAAGGTGGTGTCATCACAACATAATGCAATGTTAGAGATCATGCTAATCCTCGACAAGGTTCAAGAGAGAGTTACTCATGATTTCAAAGACGTCTTACACTATGTGGCATGTCAAAAGCACATTATTGGTGGTGCCATCATAACATAATGCAATGTTAGAGGCCATGTTAATTCTCAACAAGGTTTAAGAGAGGGTTCCTCATGATTTCAAGGACCTACAACTCTATGTGACATAGCAAAAGCACATTATTTGTGGTGCCATCGCAACATAATGCAATGTTTGAGACCATGTTAATCTTCAACAAGGTTCAAGAGAAGGTTTCTCATGATTTCATCAAGGTTTAAGAGAAGGTTCCTCATGATTTCAAAGACCTCTGACACTATGTGGCATTGCCAAAGCACATTATTGATGGTGCTATCACAGCATAATGTAGTGTCAAACACCATGTTAATCCTCAATAAGGTTAAAGAGGGTTCATCATGATATTAGAGACCTCTAACACTATCTACCATGACAAAAGCACATTATTGATGGTGCCATCACAACATAATGCAGTGTTAGAGCCCATTCTAATCTTCAACAAGGTTCAAGAGAAGGTTTCTCATGATTTAAGAGACCTCTGATACTATGTGGCAGGGCAAAAACACATTATTGGTGGTGTCATCACAACACAATCTAGTGTCAAAGACCATGCTAATCTTAAACAAGGTTCAAGAGAGGGTTCCTCATAACTTCATAGACTTTTGGTATGAGCAGCATGATGAGGCACATTGCCAGCGGCACTAACACAACACTGCTTGAGGTGCAAGTGATCAAAGCAAATAACCACACTAGAACCCAATGAAGTTCAAGGTGTCCTCATAACTTTGAAGAACTTCGGGGGCACAACATGCATGAGAAGATGCGCACAACTTGATATGGCATTCATCAAGTGCATAAAATCTCTCTTATATGTGCAAGTGGTATGGGGAAATGACCATGTTAGAACTCACCAAGCTTCAAGGAGAGTTTTAGCACAATGCAACATGATGAGGCGTGGTGTAGGCAGAACATAGTACAATGTCAACATGGTGCAACACAAGTGACATGTGTACAAAGGTGCTTGACATTGGGTGACACATGATGATGCAGGTACATAGTTGAAAAAATTAATGGGATAACTTGGGAACCTTGCCAAGTGGTGCACAAGTGTAGATATAGACATGGCATGTAGATATAGGCTGAAGGCACACATGCAAGTGGTGGACTATTGAGGAAAGTCAACTTGGACATCCATGCGCTTATTGGAGAAAGTTTCAAGGGGACTTCCCAGTATAAAGGGGGGAACCACTAGCTTAGAAGGGTAGTCAGAGACTACGCTTTCACATAAGAGAAGCCGGCCAACATTCAAGACCGCCTCATGGAGGGAAAAATATGTACACTTTGTTGGGTCCCTATGACACCTGGCCCAAGCTTTGACCACATCATCATGCCTAGTGAGGAAACTAGACCCAGCTCAGGCCATTTGATTTGACCGGGGCTCAATGATTTTCTTACAAGATCTAAAGTCAGCTGCAAGTTGAGGAAAGCCAAAGAAATGGGCCCATCGGGGGGTGGCTCTTGACTATTATGGGCCTGATCTAGACGGCCACGTGTATGGACCGGGAGCAAGCCTTCAGACCAGGGGCTCTTCAGGGCCTCAGCCGGACGAGTATTTGGGCCAGGCCCATTTCCCATTATAGGAACCAAATTGAGAGAGAGAGAGAGAGAGAAGCTACATAATTGATAGAAATATTTGAAGCATTGGATGTAGAGGCTACATAATTATGGACGTAATTTAAATAAGATATATCGTCTCTCATAGGGCTTGAATATCGATGAACTTGGCCATTTCAAGAAACATAGATGACCTTAATATTAAACGTAATTCAAAGGAAACACCCGATCTCTCTAGAAAATAAATATACAGCGAGAGAGAGCGAGAGCGAGAGAGAGAGAGAGAGAGAGAACCGGGATTGGCCATGGTATCAAGACCCTAAACCTGAATGAACAAAGAAATTAAGGGCAAATAGGAGGGAAAGAAGGTTCACTGCTGGCGGATAAATGGAGAGGAGCTGACGTCGGTGCTGTAGAATGAGTCCTCCGGGCCGTAGTTGATGTCCTTCTCATCCTCCCACTTGAGCACCTCCCGGATGTACTTGAAGCCCTCGTCAACAGTGGTCACCTCACGGGCCCGGGCCTGCCACGCAAAGAGCTTCCGGCCCGTGATACTTGCATAGAGGTCCTTGAATTGCATGGCGACGTAGTAGTAGGCCTGGTGTGCCGCCGACTGGCTGCTGCCATTCTGGGCCCTCACTGGCCGGAATTCCCCGAACCAGTCGCAGACCGACAGCGGCACCTGCTGGATCTTCTCCTCGAAGGCGTCAAACTTGTTCAGCACCAGCACGAACGGCGTCTCCTGGAAGCTTGGATGCCTAATCGGAGCAGGGAATCGAGAAAAAATTGAGCCAAGATTGGAACCGGTAGAATGAATGAATCCACTTATTTGTGTACCATAAATTAAATAATCTGATAAGTAGTAATTTCAATAGATAATATAAAGTGGGCTGATCATTGATGAGATGAGATGAGATGAGATGGATAGTACCTGACGGTGCTCTCGAAGAGCTCCTTGCTCTGGATCATCTTGTTCCTCAAGGGAGAATTGTGGCCGTTTCCGGCGATCCCCCACTGGTCGTAGTCGCTGAGGGACACGCAGAAGATGACCACCCGGACGTCCTCGAACATCTCCACCCACTTGCAGCCCTCACTTACTCCCCTTGCGCTCACCCGGATCAGCTGGTATCTGGTCGAAGAAATCCATGAATTGGAGTAAGGGAGAGAGAGAGAAGAAGAAGAAGCACATTACAACAGGGACTGGATTGGATGGCCCCCATACATTAATGAAGTAGGTTTTAATAAAGTCCAGAAAATATAACTTTCATTTCATTCATCATGCAAGAGCGGACGCTATTTTTAATTGAGACTTCAAGAGGAGAAAGGAGGCTCACCTGGTGAGAGGTTGCGGGGGCATGTCTGGGTTGTTGTTGATGAAGGGCTCAGACATTGGGCTGCGATCTTCGAGGGAGAAATCGATGAAAGCCAGGCCATTTCCTTGTGTTAACCCTTCTGCATACAATATGTCCTTCTCGGAAGGTTCATACTCATTGCTCGAGACCTCAATCACCTGCAAAAAATTGAAGAAGGGTTGACCCCCCCCACCCCCCCAAGAAAAAAATGAGGCTGCTGAGGATTTCAATAGAAATGTAGTTAAAGGCTGACCAAATTTACTCATAACTGAGGACCCATGTAAAAAGAGAACATACAAAATTAACTTTGTATGCCTCCATCAGATAAGATGCAAATTATGGTAACACGAGTGGCATGCCATCAGATATGGCATGCCATCCATCACTCATCGAGAAATTAATGGTGTGGCCTTCAGTCATCTATGCGCTTCAAGAGTCGTCAACAACAGAGATCAGGAGTGGCTAACCATCCTTAGTCAACAGCATGTAGCCTGTCAGTTTCTAGATAGGATTCACGTGTGATGGTCTAGTATCCTTCTACGTTACTGTATCTGTATGACTTTTAGTATGTAGTCTTTACCGAATGTCGCCATTCTGTGCTGAAGTTCATGATCAGAGGGATGACTATGGATACCGAAATGTAATTTTGTTTCTAAACATTCGAGCATTTGAGGGTCATTATCACCTTTTAAAATGTCTTCATAGCAAAAGAGCAATCAATGGTTCAGTCTCACTCTCTTTCCATTCTATCTCATGAAATTCACCTACTTCTTGATATGATGCTTTAACTATGACCAATCCTCAGCAAAGGGCAGTGATGTTTTCGCCGTTAGTAAGCTTCCTTTTGAAGGTCCTCCAATTCCCTTTTCTTCGGATGAGATGCATGCAATCAATGCCTCTAGATGAAAACAAAACTATGGTTTTCTTGGGAACAAAATCATGTCTAGGTCGACAACATGCAATGATCCATGGGATGGGCACAATTTTAGATATATATATATATATATATATTTCCACTAGAACATGCTCATGAAAGAGTATTCGTACATCCAAAGCTCAGAGCCACAAGAAGAAAAACCTGAACCAAGTGACTTCCGGAAAATATTAAAACGATGAATTTCAACCCCGGCTCTTCCGACAAGTCTGCCTACAAACTCACATATGCCGACCAGTAACTGGATCGCACTGTAAAAACCTTCACGGTTGTGGCTCTCTGTTTTACTTAACATCAACTTTGTGAGCAGTATCTCAGGGGACAGATTTCTGGATCGTCCCTGGATGATTCCTAAAGCATCGCGCAATGATAAGCAACATTATTTGAGAATAAATACCCAGAAGAACAAACCGCCTATCCAGACTTCATCACACATCTTTAATATCATCATTGAGAGCCGTAGGACCTTGAAAATTGTAAAGACTAACACTAACAACTGCCCACTCACAAAACTTAGACAACAGAAGGAACGTGAGACCAAAATCGGAAGCAGGAAAGGAACTCCAGGTAACTAGGAGTGGCCTAGAAAACTTACCCGGCCCAGGAAGTATTCAGCAACATCCGGGAGAAAATGAAGCTCGTTTCTCCTTCTGTATGTTTCCTGTATGGCTGGATCTTTCCATATTTCATCAACCAAAGGAGCATACTCACGTGTTGCTGCAGGAAAGAAGGCATCCAAGTTCCCCATGGCTACTATGTCCAGAAGCAAGTCAGAGAATTGTTTTAACCTTGCATTGATAGAGTATACACTTCGGGGGGCTGCACTGTTTTCCCCGTCTACAGTGATTTGTTCACCACCTAAATAAAAAGAAAATAAGGAATTCTCAATTTATGGATCATACAAAGCTTTACTTGTTCACAAATCTGTTGCATGGATGGCCAAATCTTCACCTGTAAGAATTTCCTTCCCCTAATTTGTCTCGAATTTTATAAAAAAGTGAGAAAATAATGTAACGTCATCAGCATATAAACAATTGCTATGCAGAAAAGGCGCATTCTCATTAATTCATCTAAGAGAGGACATTTTATTGGCAGATTCTTATGTTGCCTTACTGAATATACCACACTTTGACCACAATATAACCATTCACACAACCTTTTAGGGCTCCAGAAAGGACCGCTGCATTGAGTGCCAGATGGGGGCTAGGGATGTTGTATTTATAAATGGCTTATGAGCTAATTTTTTGTTGATTTGAAACAATTAAACAGCATATATGATGATTTTTAGATGTTGAATGCTGACAACTATCTCCTAAAAGAAGCGTATTTACATTTGAAAGTTTTATGAGACCTCCTCCATGAACAGTATTTAAATCCTGTCTACTGAAGGGTTCCAGGAGGACATCCATATCTAACATTTTCTTGATATCAGGCAAGACAAAAAAAATTCAGAGACATTGAGCAAACAGAAAAGTAGATGGAGCAAAATGAATAAAGTTGATGTGCCATGATGAGTGGAAGTCTTGTGTTCATCTGTAAATCTTACCTTCTTCACTGTGTTGGTCAGGTTGACGTAGTGCACCCAACTTAGCAATATCTTCTTCCTCAAAGCGTTCTCGTCCCTCAAGCAAAATGCTTAGATACTTGTAGATGTTACTCTGAATCATTAGTTTAATATTTTGTCTCTCTTCGAATGTGAACTTGTTCCCATATAAAAACATAGCCTGTTCATAGGAAGAACGGTAAGCACAGAGCCAAATATGCCATTCATATGAAGCAATGAAACTATAAATCAGCTTCTCAATGCAAAGGTGTTATAGGCTATTTGGGTCCCAATATAAGAAGTTGAAAAAAAATGCCACATTGTGCCATTTAATAATTGAAATTAGCAAAATGACGGAATAGTAACCAGCAAAGATCAAGTTCAAGAAACTTTTCACAAACTTCTTATTTGAATACATCTGGAGTAACCCAGAGGTATATCACAACTGTCTGATGATTTCAGCTATCTATTTATCTTTAGACAAATTACCATACCTATAAGAAAGGCATAGCACATATAGATAACTATCATTGTACCTGCTTAAAAATAGTGCTTGTTCCAGAACCTTGGGAGCCCATTAATAGAAGTTTTTGAATTCTTTTTGGCTCCAAATACTCAGGAACAGTCCTTCCAGAATAGTTATAAACCTCATCCGTTCTCTGGGCATTAGGATGAGGGACAGGTAGCGACAACAAGGAACAAACCAACCGTGTTGTAGCCTGACAAACAAAGAAGATGGCTTATGCATTTATTCTCGATATATGTAATGTCGAAGAAAAATAAATAAAAATAACTGCAGATGACTAATAGATACCAGCCATACCTTTTCCCAGATTTTCCCCTTGATATTATTCTGACCCTCTTCCTCATACCGGCCATCATCATAAACCCAAAAATGGGTATCACGTGGGCACTGAACCCTTGCAAACTGAAAACATAAGATGCAATGTTATTAAATCTAAATATTACAGAGTTTATCAGTTTACAGCGTGTAAAAAGATAACAGGAACTTTAATTTGCGTTCTAGATGAAGTCATATCAGCAGAACAAATATACAATAGAAAGGAAATGAGGCAAAGGAACCTCAACGGCATATCTCAATAAGTTTCACCACTTTCATTTGAGAAAAACAATTGGCATTTATAGATGATCCATGGAAAAAATTCAGACTATAAGGTGTGAAGACATGCCTTGGATCATCCAATTCATTACCAATGATGACGTCATACATCAGATTCAATTATGGCCAGCATTTAAGATTATCGAATCATTTTTTCACCCGAAAGGCAAATGAGGTCATTACATAAATGCACATCTCTCACCGAATCCAGTCAGAGGCCTAATCCCAAGCAGCCACCTAATGAGAGTATACTATTTACGAAGGGTATGAAGAGATACGCATATGAAATGGAATCAACTAGAAGTCAAATATTTTGTTTCAACACAGAGAGAGAGAGAGAGAGAGAGAGAGAGAGAGGATGGAAGTTTGGTCTCAGTTCAAACTGTCTGTCTGTATTTATCCTTTACAAGCAAAAAAATAAAATTAAAAAGAAGATAAGGAAATAGGCCCTTATAAAACACGTATGATATGCTGTTGAAAATAAATATATATCTGCAAGAGTAGATTTTGATCATTCGGTGTCAGTTTTTGAAAGTACCTTTAGAACCCTTAATTCGGTCTTTGTGATCTCCCTGCCATTAATAAAAACTTCAGTTTTACCATGGCTTGCATTTGGGCTTAGTCTGCCCGAAAAATTCAAGTTTGAACTGATGATTTTATATGGTTTCTCCCCCTCCTGAAATATTTATGTTAAGACAAAAAGAAGGGATAAATGACCATAAACGCAATTTTAACCATGAAACGAAGAGTCAAGAAGATGTGGATGCACTTGCCTTTCCCCAAAGACCAGAATCTTTGTCGTACCAATACCTTCCAGGCTTCAATTTCTTCGGAGGTAATGAGCAACTGAGCAGATCAGCCATCTCTTCTGGCCTCAAAGGAAGTCCATTAACAATGACCTGGTCAGGCCGTAACTGATTTGCCATGCACTCCTTCTCAGCTTTCATTATCTGTCTGATTTCCAGCGGGTTGAGTAAATGTGACAACATTCTCGAAGATTTGCCAAGTTTTGACCGCTTGGACTCATCTATTGGACGTCCGATGCAAGTGACACATTTGCGCCCTTCAGGCATTGATCCCATTGCTCTCAATACACAAGAGGCGCAATACCTCGCCCCGCAGACCAGACAAGTCTCCTTTCCCTCCCACTTCCTCTTGCCGCATCTGAAGCATGCCCGTTTCACTCTGTCTTTCTTGGATACACCAACATAACAAGGAGAGGCCATTTCATCCTCACGTAGCTCCTCAGTCACTGGTTCCCCGACCGACTCAAATGTGACCACAGGCATCCTCTTTGTGTCATTTTCCATCTGCGTCGAGTGTCTATCTACAGAACTGTGGGCAGACCCGGCAGAATCTGAACGGGAGGCTGAAGAAAACTCTTGGTTCTGCAGCACCGACATGACGGACGCGGAGCTCCCAGAGCCACGGGGGCTCTGGAAGGGGGAACCGGTAACCCCTGCGATACCCGACACAGGCATAGCTATCGGCTGAACCACGGGCGCTGAATGTGCTCCAGAAAATGACTCCGTCACCACTGCCGCAGTATGAATCTCCGACAGGCTCACATCGACGGGATCAATGCTGGGTGGGTCATAGGACATGGGGGGACCCTGGTACTCCAGGGCGAACGAGTAGTCAAGGTTGGATGGTACGTTCGTTAATATAGCCCCAGGAGGGAGCATGCTCTTCAGCACCTCATGGACGTTTTTCTCCTCCAGTGTCTCACCCATTTCTGCCCCGGAAGTCCACAAGGCCACCGGAATCCGGCGTCAGTGAATGACCCGTAACAACTGTTCACCGAAACACCACCGGCCTGGCAGACACACCTCCGCAACGCTCGACAGCAATCAATCCGCACAATAATCTCAACGGACCAACAGCACCATCCTGATAAGAAAAACCAAACGAGAATGCGGATTCAATCCAATCGGAGGTTACCCTCGCCGAGCAGCAGCCCCGGGCTCAAGGCGAGGAGGCACCATAGTACAGATACCCCTAATTCCAACGACAGAAGAAGCAAAAAAAGCCCCTGGCAGATGAATCCGGAACGCTAACCTCGCCTGTAAACTCCCCCACGTAATCCCCTCAGTTCGCGACGATTCCAGTCTTCGGGAGAGAGTTCGGATCAAGAAGTAGTGACGATCCTTCAACAGCAGGCGGACCACCGGGCGAGCTGCGTGACCCTTACCGAGCTGCTCCGGCGAAGGAAGATCGCCTGATCGATCAGGAAAGCCTAACCGCACTAGCGCTGGAGGACGATGACGACCAGGAGAGGGGAAGACTGTCAGCTCATGTAGTCACGGCCATGGCACTTAATCGGGAGTGTGGTACAATACCTCTCATCATCTTTCTTAAACGGTGCGTTCTCCACGTGACACGATCGCCGGTGAACGCCTCCCCTCCGGATGCTCTTCACTGAGCTGTTCCTGGGGAACACCCAAAAAAATCCCGGGCATTTTAGCCCTCTCTGTCGGTCAACGGTCACAAACGGACGGCGGCGTCAATTACGGCGGAAGATGGGACCCACAAGGGCCCACGCAAAATCGGACGGCGTCAAACGTCTTCGGAATGACGATCATACACGGTTCATAGTTCACGCCCTACACGCTCGGTCTACTATCACGGTCGGCACGCGAAAAATAAAGTCAACCCCAAGGCATCCCGTCATACTTGCTTAGAAAAGTGGCCTAGACTGGGCCTTGCGTCAAGTTATTATAGAAACGAGGAGAGATACGATCGGTGGCGAGGTCCGGTGGGTCCCACAATCGCGTCGAAAGGGTTGTGTGACTTCCTCGCCTCGAGTATCTCTTCTCTGGTCCGATGGTCGAACTCCATTTGATCGCTATGGTCTCCTCTGGAAATGTGCTGATCTGGTGGCTATGAGGGGATGGAATTGGAGTCTGCTGTTCCCAACTTTCATGGTTGGATCCTCGGAGGTGTACCCAATAATCGATTCGCGTTGACATCGGTCCAATAAGTCAACAACCAAAAACGACCTTGAATCTCACGTGTAATTAATGCCAATATCACGTGATGTACAAGCAGAATTATCAAGGCATTTTATAGTATTTTAAATTTTTATTTAATCATAAAATAATCCCCCGAGTAAATGTGTCTATGTCATTAAACCCTGTAAAAAAATATTATTAAAATATTTTTATAAGAAAAGTGATAATAAAAACTAGAAAATTGGATTTACGTTACCATCCCCAGGGTAGCGGGGAAATAATAGGTTATGGATGGTGCTGTTGAATATCTCTAATTTTCTTATTATTTGATGAGTAAAAATGTGAGAAAAAAACCTTCGAACGAGGCTTCGATGCTTCTGAGCCGTTCGATCTGCCACGTCGACCAGCTTCCCCGCATGTGAAGCCGATGGAGATCGAACGGCTGTGGAAACGCCGCCGCATCCCCCCTCCCCCATCCTGATGCCCGACGAGCTCAGAGATTTCTCTCTCTCTCTCTCTCTCTCTCTCTCTCTCTTTCTCTCGCTCAACATCTCAGTCGTATGCGGCGCCTCTGGCCACTCTCGTCAGACACACTCTCTCTATCAGGCGGATCTCGAGCTCTCTGGGACCGCTCGCCGCCTCTCTCCGTCTTCCTCCGGCAGGCTTCGCAGGCGCTCTTCACCGGCGGGGACGACCGCTCGGCCCCGCCCATGGCCGGCGCCGACGGGGCTGAAGCCGCCATCCGGCGAGCCCTTGCCGAGAAGCAGGCCGCCGTGGACAGCCAGGCGGAGGCAGTGAGGGAGGCCAAATCCCGTTTCGGGATCTCCCACGCGGAGGTCGACGCCGCCGTGGAGACGTTGAAGGTGTTGAAGGTCGAGCACGGGGCCGTCGCTAGGCAGCTCCAGTCGGCGTTGAACGGCGGGGGGAATGGAGCGCGCGGCAGGGAGGAGTTCCGGCAGACGGTAGTGAACACGCTGGAGAGGAGGATGTTCTACACGCCATCTTTCAAGATCTACGGGGGGGTCGCCGGTCTCTATGATTACGGCCCCAATGGATGCGCCATTAAGAATAATGTTCTCTCCTTCTGGCGCCAGGTAAATGCCGTCGCCATCTAACCTGGAGAATTCTGTTTCGGACTTGGATCTGGCTTTCTTTTTTAGCATGTAATGATCGCAATCAAAATCGTTTTCGAACTGTTTGCTTGCTGTGTTTCTTTTAGCATTTTGTGCTGGAGGAGAACATGCTGGAGGTGGATTGCCCCTGCGTCACGCCGGAGGTGGTGTTGCAAGCGTCTGGACATGTGGAAAAGTTCACCGATCTGATGGTGAAGGACGAGAAGACGGGCGCGTGCCACCGGGCGGACCACTTGCTCAAGGACTTCTGCAAGGAGAAGCTCGAGAAAGGCGTCACGTTGTCACCGGAGAAGGCGGCGGAGCTCAGGCATGTGATTGCCGTCTTGGACGATCTCTCTGCCCAGGAACTGGGTGCCAAGATTAAGGAGTATGGGATTACTGCCCCTGATACGAAGAACCCCCTCTCGGACCCATATCCGTTCAACCTCATGTTTCAGACTTCCATTGGTCCGGCAGGACATTGTCCAGGGTGAGGAAGCTCTATTTTGATTCATAATCACTATTGTGTTCAATGATCGGTGCTGACGGTTGGTGAACCTTCTATTACTTGATTCGATGCCTGATAGGTACATGAGGCCAGAGACGGCCCAAGGGATATTTGTCAACTTTAAGGATCTGTATTATTACAATGGAAACAGACTTCCTTTTGCGGCCGCTCAGATTGGGCAGGCTTTCAGAAATGAGGTTTGATAAATGCTTTCCCTCTCTCCCTTTTATTTTTTCCCCATTGTTTAAATACGTGCAGAATGTTGGCATTTTATGTTTCTTGTAGGCCATATAAAGCGTGACGTAATGTGTGAAAGTTTCACAGAGGGTAACTCTATGAACTAATGCTTTCTTGGTGGGATAACATTCATTGGTAACCGTACTATATTTCGCTGTGCATTTTGGTAGTACGTTTTCATACACCTGGGATATTTTCAGTACCAGAAACTCTGGGAAATTGATGTATTCGAACACTCTCCAGCATTGAACTGTTTGAAAATATGATCTCATGTAAACGAGGTGTGAAGCACTGTAATTTTTAGGTGATTACATTATAAAAATGGCATAGGTACACATGATATGAGGCAGGTATGATGAATAGAAAGGAAAGTGCAGTACACAGAGCGAATAGCTGGAAATTACGCGATTATGCAATTAGGAATCTGCGCTACTTGGTAATCAATGAGGCATAGGTTAAGGGTGGGGGGAGTGACAGCAGTGGCTTTTAGACTGCACATTAGTGACTAGTTATAAAACCCTTTGGTAGATTATTCTCCCAGAAAAAAATATTGTACTGCCGGTTGGATGCAGTCTAGTCACGCAGTCTATCCTGCATATGCATAGATTATCCACCCCATCTATTGTGACTCTGTTTAACATACTTTGCCATCAATATTTTACCACCAAGTTTTTAGATATTTTACTGCAGTCTCGTAAATAGTCCAATTTTTTCTTTGCTTTCTTTGGAGATAGATTTCTCCCAGACAAGGGCTTCTTAGAGTTCGTGAATTCACACTTGCTGAGATTGAGCATTTTGTTGATCCTGAGGATAAGTCTCACGCAAAGTTTTCTGAGGTATCAGAATTGGAATTCTTGATGTTCCCAAAGGAGGATCAACTGACAGGGAAATCAGCCAAGAAAATAATTCTTGGTAAAGCAGTATCTGAGGTACTCTATCTGCAATTCCCGTTTTTCTTTTGAAATGGTTACAAGTACTCGGGTATCTGGTTTTTCTTGCACATCCCAATTATTTTGTTTTTATGTTCCATCATGGACATTTCCTTGTCAACAGGGAACTGTGAATAATGAGACACTCGGGTACTTTATTGGGAGGGTCTACTTGTTCTTAACACAACTTGGAATTAACAAGGATAGACTAAGATTCCGGCAGCATCTGCCAAATGAGATGGCTCACTATGCTGCAGATTGTTGGGATGCCGAGATAGAATGCTCATTTGGCTGGATCGAGTGTGTTGGGATTGCAGATAGATCTGCTTATGACCTACGTGCCCACACGGTAATTTCTTTGACTATCTCATAATGGTACTGTTTGCTAGAAACTTTTGGTAAAGAAGTTACCTTTATTATTTTCTTCCCATCGTGTTATGAGTTGTGTCGTTCCAGTAAATAGTAGTGAGAACATACCTTCAGGGATGAAACCATTACGCTTCACTTGTGTCTTAAATCATTTTTACTTCCTGGAACACTGAATTTGAGCACTTATCTTTCTTCTTTTTTGCATATGGAGACATGGAACACTATGATTAGAAGGTGAAATCACAGTAAAACGGTCTTTCCGCTCAATAAGGCCATCCAACCAAAAGGGAAAACAACCCAGTACAGATCCGCAAATCTGGCACATAGGTACATAAGACAAGTCCCCTTATAGTAAATCACTCAATTTAAAGCCAGTGGCTAAGAGGAGCCTGTGAAGACGCCTGCGATTTCGATCCATCATAGTAATCTCCAATTCTGGAGCCAATTCGGGCGAGGTCTTAATAATTTGGATGACTGGCCGGAATGAAGCTTATAATTTTCTGCTGTCCTGCACATTTTTCTTAGATCATGGCAGATCAGGCGAGGGCTTTGAATTATCTATACCTTGTTTGTTGTAGCTGACAGGATGAAGATCTTGCCATCGTTTTTAAAAGCCAACTGTATTTTCGTCCTCAACCTACCCACTTGATTCTCAGAGATTAAATGAGAGTCATCCGAGGTAAACTGTTCACACCACAACATATGAAGAGACGATCTACGAGCTTAGGCTGCATCCTGTGAAGAATACAAAGCCTACTTTATGTGAAGAAATAGATCTCTACTCATGCCGGCTCTTTGTAGTTTACCTTGGGCAAACTTTTGCAGGAATAACCTGTTTGGACTTTTAAACCCGTGTTGACTATCTAACGGACTCTAAATCCCTACTTTTGCAATACTGATGCCTATCCGCAGAAACAGGGTTTTTTGTTTTACACAAATGAATGATACCACCATTTATCTCATTTACAGAGATGGCAGTTGGGTGGGGAGAATATTGATCATCTTTGACGTTGTGTTCTGTCTTTTGCTTGTTTTGTTTATATGATATTTTTTTTTCATACTTAAAAAGTGATCTAAAGCTTTGATTTGCTAGTAGCATCACGCCCTTTACCAATGCGTTTGATGTGCATTTCTGTCATCTCCAGGAGAAAAGCGGTGTCCATCTGGTTGCTCATGAAAAGTTTCCAGAGCCTAGAGAGGTGGAGGTAAGTTCGTATAGATAATGTTTTTGTGAAGCCATTTTTCCCTCCAAAATAACCTTTAGTTTTTTGCTCAATAAAGGTTAGGGAGGTAGGGAATCAGTTATGATTTTATAAAATTCTTTTGTACATCTATTAAGAAAGGGGGTGTTCCTTCCACGAAGGTCAGAGGATTGAACTGATTCGTTTGATTTCTGAAGATGCTTATTTCTTGGAGAACCCCCACATTGCAATTATAATCCAAACAAACCCAGAAAACCATTGAACTATAATGTCTCCTTCCATAGAAAGTAACTTGTGTCGTAGAGTAGGGTGTGCTCCAGCAACAAACCCTACGATGTTCCTCTGCCCTAGGATGCCCTTTCCCATGTAACTCAAAAAGAGGAGACGAAAAAAGGGCACGGACCTGGCATTCACGCAGCAGTAACTGTTACTCCCTTTGACTCTGTCGGTTTTTCTCCCTGTACTCGAGCGCCCAGAACGACGAGATCCTCCTGGTATATGATACTAATGTGAGTACTAATGTGAGCAAAACCTAGGCTACGGCAGGAGGCAGGAAGCGTACCCTAGATTCTCTATAAGCTAGTGACTACAAACCAGGCTCTGATACCATGTCGTGAACAGTGGTGCAAACTGTAGGAGAATATGCATGGGAAAAACTCTCCTCATTTCGTATCATACATGACTGTATTATACTAGGAAACTGCCTAAAAACTAAGAGACTAAAAAAATAGGAATGGAATCAAAGACTAGGAAACGGTCTAATTAAGAGCCAAACTCTTAAATATACGTTCTTTCCCATGCCTTTTCTTCCCAGTAAGTTCCTAGATGATTTGTAATGTCTCCTTCCATAAGAAGTAGCTTGCGCTCCATAGAAAGTCCACAATTCCCAGAAGTAGCCTGGCCTCCGTAGGAAGTCCACAATTCCCATTCACGTTTTATCTGTAATGTCTCCTTCCAAGAAGGGGACTAAAAAGGATTTTTGCAGACTTTCTATGGGGCACAATTAATATGGGAAGAGAAGATACTTGGTATCCTGGGACCAACTTACCAACCCCACGGAGGAAGGTGGGCCTTTGGGATTCGTTTCTTATCTGATTTTTGCTCAGCACTCAATAGCTAATGGAAAAAAAATACTACTTGCTAAACATGAGATTTGTTCTGTGATCCGTTGTTGTTTGGATCTTTGACTGGTTCCAAGTTCCTAAACTCTAAGCTGTTGGTGAACTCTTTGAATCCACTGAGCAACAGAACAACTGTTCCATTAACGTTGTTGTTGATGAACTCTCCCCATATCCCTCTCTTTGTGTAAGCCTTCCTAAAAAGTTTGAGCTTGAGTGCCCATAGAAAGTCCGACAAAATCTGTCTCAGTGTCCTTACTAGAAGTAGACATTAAAGTAAGTTTCTAGATGATTTCCTTTACCTGCAAATTTGAGCTGCCGGACTTGAGGAAACCCCGATTTATGGATTGGAAGGGGAGGTGCGGGGTTCCTCAGTTCTGCATCGTAGACCTACGAATTCCAAGGGCTCTAATCCAGTACCTTAGGAATCCATGTGGTCCTGAATATTAAGCACTTTCTATGAGCAATGAGCAATGGGCCTTTCACTGCGTAACAAGGCGACCTGAGTTTCTTTTAAACAGATTTTATCATGTTCTTTAATTTATCTCTGTTAAGTTGAATAAAAAAATTATTCTTTCTTGGAAATTGTTGTTTTCAGAAGCTGGTTGTTGTCCCATCAAAGAAAGAGCTTGGCCTCGCATTCAAGGGTAACCAGAAGATGGTGGTACAGGCGCTCGAGGTATGCTCACCATTATCTTAAGCTTGCTTGACGGATCTACCAGTTCTGAACTGGAGATAAGTGCCTTGAATGGGGGAAGGCGAAAAGATGGATCAGATCATGGCTCTGCTCTATCCGGACGTCCAAACGTGAATAGATGTAGAAAATAATAGGTATCTTTTTCCATCATTTGGATAACATATGTAGAGCGAACCCCCCCCCCCCCCCCGATTTGGCAATTAGGGCAGAATTGGACCAATCGAAAGGGGATCATCTCTCATGAAATGATCTTATGCGTAGTAGTAGTCTACTGAAAGAAGAGGTATTGTTTATGGGTCAACTTTGCCATTATTTACTTGGTCTTATCTGAAACAGGCAATGAGTGAAGCCGAGGCCCTGGAGATGAAAGCCGGGCTGGAATCCAAAGGGGAGGTCGAATTCCAGGTCTGCACCCTCGGCAAGGCCGTCACCTTGAAGAAGAGCATGGTCTCAATCAGCCGGGAGAAGAAGAAGGAACACCAGAGGGAGTTCACTCCTTCAGTGATCGAGCCCTCCTTTGGCATTGGACGGATAATATACTGCCTCTACGAGCACTCCTTCTACACAAGACCGAGCAAGGTGGACAACGAGCTGCTGAACGTGTTCGGCTTCTCGGCCCTTGTGGCGCCTAAGAAATGCACCGTCCTCCCTCTGGTCAAGACCGACGCCTTTGACCGAGTTGCCAAGGCCATCTCACGCGACCTCACAAAAGCAGGCATATCGAATATCATCGACATCACAGGTATGGCTGCTGACTCCCACCGAGGTAGAGACTGTGGAGCCCAGAATATTTCTGATTTCACCGAGTATGGCTGTTTGGCACCTTCCAGTCCCGGAATTCATCCTGGATATATATATATATATATATGGTTTTTATTTTTTATTTTTTTTGAGTTCGAGCTTGGAAAAATTGGCTTTTGGGTCATCTAGGAAAAGAAAACAAGCTAAGCCCAGATACGTCAATTGGAAAGCCCTTTTTTTTTTATCTGCATCGACTATGGCTGTTGGGCACCTTCCAGGCCCAGAATTCATCCTGGATTTATTTATTTATTTATTTATTTCTAGCTTGGAAAAAAATTCAAGCTGAGCGCAGGTACTTCAGTTGGCTAGCCCAGAAGTTTCTTGATTGCACCTACTAAGGCTGTTAGGCATCTTGATTGCAGGTACGTCAATTGGGAAACGATATGCAAGAACAGATGAGATTGGCGTCCCATTTGCCATCACGGTGGACTCCACAACGTCTGTAACGATCCGCGAGAGGGACTCCCGACAGCAGATCCGTGTCGATGCTGCTGAGGCGGCGCTCGTCGTGAAGGAGCTCGCCGACGGCCAGAGCACCTGGGCCGATGTCATGTGGAGGTATCCCACCCACACCACTCCCATCGCAGACGACGAGTAGCTCTCCCCTCTCTCTCTCTCTCTCTCTCTCTCTGAATGATTATTATTTTATTTTTTCCCTATCAAACACCAGTTTTATTGGGTCTTCTAATTTATTTTCCAATTTCGAAAGTTCTTCCCAACATGCTCCGTATGGTATCATTTGGAGGTTTCCCACCACATCACTCCCACCGCAGACGATGAGCGATGAGTAGCTCTCTCTCTCTCTCTCTCTCTCTCTCTCTCTCTCTCTCTCTCTCTCTCTCTGTATCTATCTCCCTCTTCTATGAAGGATTATTATTATTATTTATTGTCAGACGCGAGTTTTTGGCTTTTATAAAATAAAATAAAATCCAATTCGAAAGTTCTTCCTTATATGCTCTGTATGATATCATGTTCAGGTATCCCACGCACCACTACAAACGACGAGTAGGCCTCTCTCTCTCTCTCTCTCTCGATATATACATATATATATATATATATATATATTCTTCATTGGAAGAACGTTTGATTCGGAGTTCACCACAAATAAATTTACATGTGCTCCTAAGTTCTCTCTAACCTTGTATCAACAGAGCCGGTTGCAGACTATAATAGATAGAAAGAAGAAAGAGAGAGAAATGGCTTATGCAAATCCTGGGCCCACTTAATCTGGCACCAGTTTGGGCTTGGGCTTAAGTCCGAAGCGGCCCATTTATCCTGCAGGCATTCCCGAAAGATCATACGCAGAGAAGCAACAGATGCCTAATGATAACAGTGCAAGGGAGTAAAAAAAGAGGGAATATAATCAATCAACCATTAGACCCACCTGAAAGTAGAGAGAGAGAGAGAGAGGGGCGAATTTCAAAGGTAAAGCTTTGTTGAAAGGCCGAGCCCGAAAAATGAGGTCCGGGTCGTCCACATTCACATTGTAATCATCGGATTGTGCAGAGAAGAAACAGCAACTGAAGCCTATTTAATAGCAGAGCAAGAAAAAAATAAAAGGGGAGGAAATGTAAACTACCCAACCATTTGACCCACCTGGAAGTAGAGAGAGAAAGAGAGAGATGGCCAGTCTCACTCATTCATTCACGGGAAGGTGAAGGAGCCGCCAATCTGGGAGCTGGAGGAAGGGGGGTTGATGGCTACCCAGAGGAGGGAGATGGTGATGGCGATGAGTCCGGACCAGACGAAGACCACCGTGGGGGTCCTCCCCCTCCTCCCCATGAGCCCCTTGGCGAACGGGTAGAGATGGGCCAGCACCCAGAAGCTGAAGAACACCCCGCCCAGCAGCCTGCTCCACTGCGGCAGCACGCTGTAGATGGTCCTGCTGATCCCCACTGCAATGGCCACAACATTCACCATGATGATGGTCAGCGGGGGGATCATCAGCGAGCTCCACTTCAACGCGTACAGGTCGGCGAACTCGTCGTCGTCTCCGTCTCCTCCTCCGGCGGACTTCGAGGTGAGCGTGAAGGAGATCTCGATCCCCGCGACGACCTTCAGCAGCCCCTGCAACACGGCGGCGAGGTGCGCGCTGGTGCCGCCGATCAGCCAGAACTGCTCGTTCCGCCACCACTCCTCCAGCCCGATCCCCGACCATTTAATCTCCAGCGCCGCCAGCATGCACATCGTCACGGTGATCGCCAGCAGGTACGCCAAGAAGGTCACGTTCAAGCTCTGCACGATGAACTGACCGGAGAAAAGCGACAGCGCCGGGAGGAAGCAGTAGACCAGGAGGAAGACGGAGGTGAAGGGGTAGATGCCCACGTTGAGGTAGGCGACCCTCTGCAGGAGCTTCATCCTGGAGCTGGCGAGCAGCGCGTTGTTGCCGGAGAAGAAGATCTCCACCGAGCCAGTGGCCCACCGGAGCACCTGGTGCAGGCGATCGGTGAGATTGATCGGAGCCGTCCCCCGGAAGGCGTCCCTCTTGGTGGCGGAGACGCAGTAGACGGAGCGCCACCCGCGGTTGTGCATGCGGTAGCCGGTGACCACGTCCTCGGTGACGGAGCCGTAGATCCACCCGAGGCGGCGCCCCCACTCCGTCTTGTCCTCGTACCAGCAGGAGATCACGGCGATGGCCTCCGCCACCGCCGCCGCGTCCAGCAAGTCCCTGGCTATGGTGAGCGCCCCCGGCCGCCGCCCGTTCCTCACCGCCGGATGGTCCCCCAGCGGCCGCCCCTCGTACTCCGCCACCGGGATCGACTCCACCAGCACGTCGGAGTTGCCGAACTGCTTCCTGAACGTCGCCGCCGTCGACGGGTTGATCATCTTCTTCTCCTCGTCCTCGTCGTCCTCGTTGCAGGCCGTCTGCAGCAGCGCCGCCTGGGTTTGGTGCGGCGGCGGAGCTTGGAGGTGAGGTGGGTCGAAGCCGTAGAGGGCGAGGCGGCGGAAGAGGCAGCCGGTGCCGACGTAGACGGGGCCTTGGAGGCCGTCGAGGGCGCGCATGTTGACGTCGAAGAAGACGGAGTTGTGGTTGGCGTAGCGGTCGGAGGGGTCGATGCCTTCGAACCTCTGAGGGAACTGGACGTAGCAGAGGCGGTCGCCGCCTCTGTCCATCATGAAGCAAATGCCCTCCCGCAGCGCCTGCGAGTTGTAGACGTAGTGGTCGCAGTCGAGGTTGAGGATGAAGGGGCCATTGGACATGACCGCTGAAGCTCGGACCAGGGCGTTCATGGCGCCGGCCTTCTTGTTGTGGTCGTATCCGGGGCGCTTCTCGCGGGAGACGTAGACCAGCATGGGCAGCCGGATGTCCACCTCCGCCAGGTCGAGGATACCACCGGCGGTGGCGGGGGCGCCGCCGTGGAGGGGGGCGTCGCTGGGTGGCTTCAGCATCACCTGGATGATGCCGGCGTGGTCTCCCCTGGCGTGCTCCGGCGAGGGGACCGTCCAGGTGCCCGGCCAGTGCGTGCCGTCAGCCATCCAGGTGGCCTTGGGGATCTTCAGAGCTTCTCCGGCGGCGGCGGCGGCGGCGGCGGCGGCGGCGGCGGCGGCGGCGGCGGCGATGGAGTTCTCGCCCTCGGCGGCGGCGGCGTCACGGCGAAGCTTCATGGCCTTGATCTCCTCGCGGGCGTGGTAAGCGTCGGAGCGGCGGCGGATGGAGTCAGGGAGGCCGTTGATCCTGACCTTGAACTCGTCGTACTCGCGCTTCACCCGCCGGCGATCTCTGACGAAGTCCGGCCGGAGCTTGTTCTTGTAAGGATCCTTGCGTAGGTTGAAGTAGCTCTCGGGATTTCTGGGCTCGATCTCGTGCTTCCGGCAGAAGGGGACCCAGATGTGGGCGAAGCTCGCGGCCTCCGCCATGGCCTCGAAGGTCAGGAGGGCGCCACCGTCGTCGGAGACGTAGCATGCGAGCTTCTCGACGGGGTAGTCGGCGGCGAGGATGGAAAGGATGGTGTTCGCGGTGACCAGCGGCGGCTCCTTCTCCGGGTCGGCGGTGGAGACAAAGATGTCGATCCCCGGCAGGTCGGACTTGCCGCCGCCGCCGCCGCTGCTCTCAAACTTCTCCTTCAGCACGGCGAGGTCAGTGGCGCGGTTGATCGGGGAGAGCTTGGGGAGCTGGTCCAGCAGCCAGCAGAAGGCGAACCAGACCTCGCACACCACCGACATCCCCCATAGCCAGATCGCGTCCTCGTTCTTGTGCCTGATCCTCCACGCCAAGAACAGCCCCAGCGCGATCATCCGGAGGAACACCAGAACCCTGCCGGAGATGATGAACAGTCACGCACCCATCCACCATCATCGGATAATCAATCCTACATGCCTTCTCCTGCAACAGCAAAGTCTCGTAAAAATCGCAGAGCGCGAATCTACCTACCTGTAAGGGCTGAGGATGGCGGCGGGGATCTTCAGCTTCCGGGTGAGCGGCCTCCACGGCTTGGCGGCGAGCTCCGTCGGCTGCCCGCCGACATCGTCGCCGCCGCCGTCGCCGCCGTTCTCCTTGGGCCAGAAGGCGTTGCCGTAGCCGTAGGTGCCCTTGGTCTCGTACAGCCATCGGTTGTGGTCGAAGTCCCCCGTCTGGCTCCGGGAGAACTTGCCGGACTTCATCAGGGACAACCTCCTCTCCATCTTCGACACCCCTCCCGGCGGCGGTGGGAGCGGCAGCGCCGCCCGGTCCCCCGCCGCCGCCGCCTCCTCTATGTCCGCCGTCCGGTACGGTTCCTTGCAGCCGGGGCAGACAGCTCCTCCGATTCCCCCTTCCCTGACGGCGTCGGAGAAGCAGTCGGCGCAGATCTTGAAGTCGCATGCGCACGGGAGGATCTCGCGGCCGCGCTCGTCCCGCAGGACCTTACCGTCGCAGCCAGCGACGGCGCAGGAAGAGCTGCCGCCGGCGCCGCCGGCCATCTGCGGGTGGCTCGCCGCGGTGTCCGTCACCTTATCCAGGATGTGCGCTCTGGTGACGCTGTTGAACCCTCCAGTGAAGATGGAGCTCGAGACGTACTGCTCCTCCACCCGAGCGGCGATCGAGGCGTCCACCGGGACCTCGCAGCCGGCCATCGGCTGGTTGTCGGGGGTCGGCGGTATGTGGACGTGGTAGCCCTGGAACTCGCCGGAGTTGAGCCGACCCGAGGAGCTGCGCCGGAGGAAGCTGACGGAGGAGGAAGAGCTCAGCCGGACGGATCTGTTGTTCTTTAGGATGGACGCCATCGCCGGCGGCACGCAGGACCTTCAAACAGCAGCAATGGCGATCTGAAGGACCACAGATCCGAACCCCTATACCAGCAACGGCAGGCAGAGAGAAAGAGAGAGAGAGAGAGAGGAGGGAGCTCAGATCTGTGCCTATACCAGGAACGGCTAGGGGGGTTAGGCGAGGTCAATCGGGGACGGCGGAGGAAAGAACGGCACTGGCGCCGCCGGCGGCCGGGGGGAGAAAGGTCCACTCAGAAACAACGGCGGCAGAGCTGAGAGCCACTAGGAACGGCGCCGGCCCTACCGATCATCTTCTCCGCCGTCTATCTAACCAGCACAACGAGGAAGATGAAGAGAGCAGCTAGGAAGAGAGAGCAAGAGAGAGAGAGTAGAGGGTTTTAGCAGAGTGATATTGGCACCCTCATTAGACAATATTTACCCCACTTCTGTATCTTCTGAAGCTTTGTGGTCGCAGCAATTCTTGTCCTTCTTCTGCGGTGGAGAGGCCAGCGGATTTCCAGGAGGAGGGAATATAGCGCCGTGGTCACGTGGCAAGACGCATCATGCTGATCTGGCACGCGGCTTTGTCTGTATCTCTACTGTCTCCCAAAATGACTTTCTAAAAATCCTAAAATACCTCTACAATTAGGCTTATTTATGGAAACCTCCACATCGCGACCCGAGCAGTCGTCCTCCCATCGATCGCTGGTCCTGAACGCGGGAGCTTGCCCGATTTAAAATTCCAGCGCTTGGGGTAATTTTGACGGCTTATAGGGACAATGCAGTCAATTGACCAGGCCATCAAAGATTTCCCCGGCCCACAATCTTCTGTGCGACCTGCCCTTGTGGGCCCCCAGCCCACGCCCTCACTTTTCCCAAATCATTCGGCGGGCGGCAAGCCGTTGACCAAACTATAAGATATAAATAAATCTATATAAATATATATATATATATAGAGAGAGAGAGAGAGAGAGAGAGAGAGAGAGAGAGAGATAGAGAGAGAAAGCGACAGGACTTTGGGGGTTCAATCGCTCGACAGTACTGACGACAATAATAAGAAATATTATCATCTTTCCTTAATTTTTCTCCATACACAAATCTCATAAACTTTGGAACTCACTCCATCTATTATCCAAACCACGATTTTCCAAAGTTCTTGGGTTTCATCTCACGTATAAAATGCATGAACCGCGGATGAAAGGTGCTACATTTCTATATGGCTCTTTATCTTGCTGGTGATTCCTCCCTAAATGGGCTTGACTGATCATATGATGGATCCAGGGTACTTATCCTCTGGGCACAAGATCAATCAGAGTTTCCTAGCTTCTTGGGGTTGACTTTTTTCCGATCAATTATGCTGTCAGATAAATAAATAGCCAAGTTTATGTCGCTTGATACGATTTTTGACGATGACTAATAGTTCAGAGATTGTTTATAGCCTAAGAAGATGTTAACTATTATGGTGATTATTAACTTGATTTAAATCATTTTCCTTCTTTTCTTAGCTTCCTTTTCCGATTTTCATATTTTTCCATCTTAAGGGTTGTTCTTCAGCTTTCATTGTTTTCAATTGGTAGCTTTGGATGATCAACAAGAGAACTTTTTTACTCATATAAACTAATAGGGGGAGGCTTGATTAAATACCCCATGCTAAGTTGATATTTTCATTGATATCTCATCAATTTGCGCTACCAATTCCTTAAAAGGCATTAACACTAGAACGATCAGGGCTTCATGTTTTTGGCGCTTCCATTACGTTGACTCTGTTCTTGAGGATCCTCACCACCCATAGCTTGCTTGGACACAAGCTTGAAGAACCACATAGCTTATTGGAAATCTAGAGAAGTATTATAACTTTGTTTACAGTGTAGAAAATACTTGGCAAGATCACAAAGAAGATCAAACGAAATGAAAGAGGGCCTCTTTGAGTCCAAGAATCTGACAAGGAGGTGCAGAATTGTTTTCATGTTGAGTGTAATAAATTCCCCAATAACTTACATAAAGACCCAATTATGCAAGAAAAACTGATGTCTTTTCACATACGAAAAGGCCTGTCAGCACCACCTTCCTTGCCCGTTTTCTAGGGATTCACTGCAACCCATTTCTCAATAAGCACCCTTCTCAAATTGGTAATGGCGATACATTAGCAGAGCTCTGGGTGTTGGTGGTCATCATCAGGGGTTTGGCAGACTTAGTAGTCCAACGAGTAAACTCAGGAAATTCATTCTACCCATAAAAAATATCTATAGATTATGATACCAGTCTAATGATCAAATCAATAAGTACAAGGGAGGGCTTTCATTGGGCATTTTTGCGATTTAACTCATTTTACAGAGCATGAGAGGATGGGGATGAGCTATGCGACCCCACATGGATTTCAAGCTAGATCAATAAGCTACTGGTGTAGCAACCTGGGCTCAGCTCCTTATACAGCTAGGGATCATTGAAAGCTGGCTACAGGGTATGCCTACAGGAGGACACTGGAGTTGGGCCATCTGATCACAAGGTTGAGAAAATACACAGGATGCTGATCCAATCCGATCGGATTCACATCTTCCTGAAGAAACTGATGATGCCCCGAGCCATGGATCTTAAATTTCCCCAGAGAGATGGGTTTTCGGGCAGGGGTTCTTCATGCTCTGGCTTTCTGTTGACGTCTTCCCTGAACATAGAAACAGATGTTTTTAGAAAAATTCCTAATGAAGATGGTGAAATATTTCCATGAGGATGGAATGTAGAAGACAAGTAAGAAAATAGAAAGCTGATAAGATTATAATTAGCCACGACGACGCACAAAGGCAGGGATCCAGATGGAGAAATTGTTAAAGCATCTTGGTTATCGTACCCTCAGGGCCTCCCTTAAAAGGGATACAAATATCTTAAATCTTTGCATTTTTCTATCTACCTTAACTCAAATATGAGCTTGTTTAACAATGTACTGAAATGATTTTAGGCTTCAAGTATTTTCCGCAATGATCCAAAAACTTTTAGCCGCACATGGATTCATTCACCATGAATCACATACCAAGTTCATGGTTCCCTCCCTCATCTGAAGTCTTTGGGCAACTATAACGTGAGTTCAGAATGAACAGAGTAAATTTTTATGATTTAGAAGAAAGAAAATTATAAACTTTCTGGAAGTGTTAAAAGAATCAAAGAAAATTGAGCTCTATGCAGGCCAAATATAACGGTTAAAAATCCTCAATTTTTGTATTTTTTTTATCATACCTTTTTAATGGAAATTGCTCCCGTTTTTTTCTCATAAGTATAACAGCTAATTCTAACATTCAAGATTCAGAGAACTCCATACATGGAAGGAAGATTCAATTGTCTAAAGGACAAGTCTGATTCAAAACCACTGAATGTTTTGCCAAGATTTCCTTTGGAGGTAGTTTATGATCTCTACCCATTCATACAATTCGATCAGAATTTAAAACACCAGGTGACAACCGCTTACATGGAACATGAGATTAAGATGAGGATGCTTACTTGTGAGAGCCATTATCGTTGGAAGATTGTTGAGCATCCTTTCCTTTTGTGCCGATCAGAACACCCACATCTCCTCTCTTGACATCGGACTCTCCGGGAAATGTCTTCAGCACGTCTTCTGTAATGCCTGGTTTTGCCCAGGAACTGTGGGACCCCACAGAACCCCCAACGCCAGCCTGTAAAGAATATGCGATTATTCATATGTCTTCAAAGCCAAGGTCACAAGGGAGAACAGTAACATTTTCTTTGGAAAAATGGAGAATTATATCACGGAGAGGCTTAGACACTAACGGGAAGATTTTCGACACAAGAGTCTTTCAAGGAAGAAAGAGAAGAATCAGTGGCAGAGGCTTCATTCAAAACCCCATCTACACAAAAGCCATGATTATTTTCTACCACTTTTGGAATATCCTTCTCAACAGAATCTGTCATTGGATGCACCGATTTGATAGTCTCTGTATTTAGATGGTTCACATCATAGGTGAGTTCAATATGGAATTCATTTCTTTTGCTAACATCTACCGATAGCGATTCATCACGGGATTCCTCCATTTGAGCAGACATAACAGGAGAATCATGGGCTTCATCAGAATGAATTAAAGTCTTGAGCATCTGGTCTTCACTGAAATGAAACAGGGACTGCCCCTGATGAGTGCAACTTTCCAATGAAACAGGGACTGAACCTTCTGATTTTTCAACCAAAGGAGCTTCTTTACGTGCATCAGAAGATGTGCAGATATTCTCCTGTGTCTTTTTGAAAGGGAACGTCTCCATTCCTTTCATAGGGCGATGTTTTGCCTTGTACTCCAATTCCTGAATAATTGCCTTGACAACATAGTAGGAACCACCAGTTTGTTGTCTAATGGAGGAAGCAGTAGGGAACTTTCCTCCATTGGAGGCCCGGTACCTGCACAAAAATGCTGCATGATCTTCCAACGTAAAATACAGGATGACAGACATAATACGATGCGAAGTGATTCATTGATGTCATTAAAAAGATATAGAAAGTGAACAAAACATTCTTGGCAAAATATGCCTTAAAAAAGTAAGAATTCAAGCAGTTGGGGCAACACATTAAGCTAAGGTACAGAAGTCTCGATCTTTCTTCTTTTCTACTATATTAAGCAATTACAATTAGTGTAATGAAAAGAGGAATAAAAGGCTTTGTTGATTTATGTGAACTTATCAGCAAAAGTTAAAGATTATAAATTTGTATTCTAGAATTTTAAATCGCAGCTGCCTGAGAAACTGTTCGAGAAATGCCACAAAACACTCAGCCACGGCTTCAAGTGTAAATGACATAAAAATATGCACAACTTTCTACGTCTACATGGCAATGCCTCTCCTTAAACGCTGATGATTCTTTTCCTATCTTTTTTTCTTTTCTGTCTTTTGTTTGCTCTCAGGATTTTCCTTTTTTATATTTACATTCAAATCTAATATCTACAAAAGTTTATTGATAGATCCCTTCGTCTCTAATGTTGGATAGATTTGGAATCAGATCTAGTAATTTATTGAGTATCCCTGGCACAAAAGTAATGGTTCACATCAGTTGCCTGAATTATTGAAAGAGTTTTCTTTTCTTCTCTTCTCTTCTACCCGCTGTTCTTTTCCTTTCCTTTCTCCTAATCATCTCATTCTCCATCGCACTCTGTTTCTCCTACTTCTTTCTCATTTTCCTCTGAGGTGTCTAGGCTACCATTCTGCTACCCCACACCTCCTCCTGTCCTCACCTCCTCCCCCATTTTGGGTCCTGCTAGTTTCATACGGGGATCTGAAATATTCAGATATGGCGACCCATTTTCCCTGGAAATTGTCATTTGCCTTAATCACCGATCTATTTGGATAATGAAATTTGACTTCTGAATGCGTAGCAGAGAGCAGAGTGGCCGACTTTTCACTTAATAGGTATCAGGAAAACGCCATTTAAACAGTCTTTCGAAAATTTCAGAAGCATTTATCATCATCATATGGAACAATGTTATGATGACAGTTGCATAAAATAAACTGTGGGCAAATGAAATAAGGCATACTTGTCAACAAGAGATTCCACCATTGCACGCCGCTCCAGCTTTGGAATCCTCTTCGGCCTTTTGGAGTGCTGAGGAGAATCAGAAGGGACAGAAGCAGAGAAAGATTTCCCACGCCATTGGATGTTTGATCTGCTCAACGTATTTGGCATACCAACCAGCACTGCTAGGTACAGGAATTAGGAAAATTATCCAGTATTCACAAAACGACAGATATCACTAAAAATTACCAGACATCAAATAAAGGATATAGTTACATTAAGCTCTAAGGTTTAAGATGGATTAAAAGGCTTTGAAATCGGTAACTCTCTGACTGTAATAAAATAATGATGTGGAGAGTTCGTATCGACCATCAGATAACGCATAGAATTAAAAAAACTATAAGCTTTGGATAGTCTAAAAAGCTTTCAAAAGATTCTTCAAGATCGAATTTAGATACTCAGTGAAATATTGATGCGAAGATATATGGTCTAACATATGAAACTCTGTGAAGATCTCTCACCCACACAAATATCATGCAGCTTTAAAAGAATACTTTTCCCGGATAGTAGGGTTCCAAAACTAGAATACCCAGGGAAAAAAATAAAAACTCGCAGGTTTTATCTAATCTTTCTGCTTTCACTTCCTAAGCACGCCATCAACAGCCAAACGTAATTCCGTTCAAGATTACTGTGGCATAATGTAGGATCAGAGCTGGGTGATCACAGGAGAACCACCATTGAGCAATTCCATTTAAGCATGAGCTGTGCAAAACCTTTCTTCACGATAATTTATAAAGTTTGGATCTAATATTCACTCGTACAACCAGTGACGGAGCCAGAGAGTATGGAATGAATAGTCGAACTCATTATCATCCATGAAACACGTGATGGTCGTCGGGCAAAATATGGATAATAGCGTCAATTTCACATATGCAAACACTAAACTGGAACTAGACGTGTTAAAAAGCATTAAGTCAAGGAAAGAAAATTTATCCTTGGTATAATAAAGTGAAGTGACATTCTAACGTTACTGTTGCTCTTGCATCATTTACAGGAGGGGTGTACCTAGCCGGAAGCCAGAACAAAATGCTTCCTTTTCCCAAGGGTAGATACTCGAAAGCATCTAATGGGAAATGTTCAGCATTAATTATTGAATATCCAAGGTCCCACTATACGCCTTTTCTTCTCATATAATTTTTTTATACAAAACCGTTTCTGAGAGCATCAAGAAAATGAGCTATATATGTATAGAGAAAGGAGTTGGGGGGGAGGGGTGGGAGGGAGGGGGCGGAGAGAGAGCATGCTAAGCAGGGAGAAAGTGGCCACGGCAACATATGAAAGTGAGCTGTTGCAGACCATACATCGTCAACGACATGATAGCTTTTGCTTTTTACATAGATGATATTTTATAACTTTGAAGGCCAGTTGAGGAAGCCAGATTCACTCCAGATGGTTTTTCCAATTCTGATCTGAAGCAGATGGTCTTCAAAATCTTATAAATGACATTCCAGATGAAATTACATACATGATGCGTCCAAGAACAATTCCTGTCCTCCAAATAAACTCTAACAAATGATCCTCAGAAGAAAAAGTTCAAAAAATTAGTAATGAACTTCATTCACAACATAATCTGGTACTGGAGACGCACGCTAAATATTCAACCCTCCCAGAGACACTCTCTGAAACAGAGACAGCTTCCAATCAGCTCCTTCTACAGAATTTCCTCCCAGCATTGGGAGAGAGCCTCCAAGAATGGCTAATAGAGGCAAGCCAGAAATTAAACCTAGGAAAATCTTATTCAACTAAAGTTACCAACAAGCCCTACTGATATAACCAGCATCATGCATTTCAATAGCTCTTTACTGAATAGGAGGATAGCTGAAAACTACCACAAAGCTAGAATTTCATGGACAAAGCAATTTCAAAGCGATCGTCTTCATCAGAATACTCTATGTTTCGAACAATGGCACATTCATCACTTTCTCTATTACCAGAGAGCAACTCAGTCTCTACATAAAACTCTGTCATGATGTACACTAGCATGCGACTGGTCATTTCCAGAAAGCCCTTTTTGATCGATCATCTTGATGCGGATGCACCATATTTTGGAAACAACATATTCATCATCTTGCCAATCAGAAGACAGCAAGCCGGTCTCTGTAGAAACTTTACCATGTATCCTAATTTATCTCACCCCACTTCTCCAGTAGGAAAGTAGAATAGTGAGCTGCTGAATTCCTGAGCAGTATGAACAGAACACTACATGACAGGACTGTGTTACACGAACATCGGTGCGATTATCCCTTATAATGGGGATGGAGATGAGGGGCAATAAAAATGAGAACTTAAAGCATCATTTTCATATCTCTAACCCAATGAGACGCGCCTAAGAATAAGTAAAAGAAATATTTGCTCAACAGAGGTTAACTCAACGATAAACTGAGAAGGAAGGGAGATCGCCAACCCTTTTTACAGCAAGTGTAGGGGGATGCGGCAGAACTGGATGCTCTGGAAGACGAGACCCCCCTCGTCACTGCCTGCATCATCATAAATATCTTGAGCGCCAACACAACTGATTGATTACATCAATTGTCTGACCAAAAACCTGAAGCCAGGAACAGAAAACAACAAGCAATGTCAAGGGAGAAGAAAAACTATCAAGAACAGAAACAGAAACCGAGCACAAAAAAAATCTCAGGATCATCTCTAAGCCTCTGACGGCTTGCAGGCACGACACTCACCCCGCCCCCAGACACGCAAATCATCACAAATCATTTGCCCCAACAGCAGAACAATGGTAAAACTAAAAGACTCGCAAGACCCATAAATATGATCCCGCACGCTAGTTCACGAACGACGATGGAGAAACGACCCGAAGGCCATGGTTACTCCGGAAGGATGCTTCTGAAGAATTTTATCACTGAGACCCGCATGCACGGTACCTATAACGAAGATGGGACGCCATGCGTCAGACATTTGGGATATCGAAGGCCTCCGAGGAAGAAGCTCCCCCGGATGGCGAGGGTTTAGGGTTTAACCGCACGCACGGGGAGTAAGCCCTTGGGAGGCCAGCCACCACAGCGGGGGACCCCTCTGTCACTGTTTCGACGACCCGAACCCGTTACCATGGAAAACGGGCTACCGGTACGTGATTTATCGGACCGACCCATTGTAAATCCACTTAAAACTTTTATAGTACTTCCATACCTTCAAAATCAACTTTTAAACCCTTGAAGTCAACCTCCTTAATATGGTCAACGAAAGATGCTCAATGAGGTCAACTAACAGCACAAAGTAAGGAAACTAGGACATGAAAGTGAATGCAGCAAACTAATTATTGAGCTCAATACTCATATTTCATATACCAAGCAATGTCAATGACAATGTTGTCTATTTTTTGGCCAAGCAGTAATTTTCACAGCCCTCTAGGCTATGTTATGTCACTTGGCCAAACAGAGCATCACAGGAATGGCCCATCACAAAGCCCATGAGATAATTGGACACACACAAAACACCCTAGAAGTTAGGGTTTCTGCCAAAACCCTAACCCCCTTTTCTATCTCATCTCTCTGACTCCCTCGCTCTCAGTTGAATCCAGGTGTTATCCCATCAGGAGGGCACATGTGCGTGCATCTTATTATGACATGCATGAAATAACATGACATGTAGTTTGTGTCATGTGCATGTGGACCCATGTGATAGAAACAATCAATTTTGCCACAACAAGATGATGTTTGTTGTAATATCATATGAACTTCATTCAGCACTAGCATGTTACCGCATGACATTGACAAAGCATTAGCATGATAATGACACAAAACAATACTTGATGATGTTCATGAGAACTTCCCCTGAACCTTAACAATTGTTGGCACCACAATGGCACAAGACAACACATCATGTTATGTATGGGAGTGCATAACATGATGCAAGCACATGTGTAAAATGTCCTACATGTGTGTGTAGATGACATAAGTGCAACACATGCTAGACACACATCACATCTGCTACACATTTAAGTAGACTTGTTAACCTTGCCAACATCACCCACCATAGGAATAGTTGAGAATCATGTATTGTGCTTTGTTTCTTTACTATGATAATTTCTTTGTCTTAAGTCAACTAGGCTCATTTTATTCAGCCCATATTATCTTGGTTAGTAATGAAATAGACTAGCCCAACCCATTATGGCCTAGGCTGGTCCAATTCTCCATATAACTAACATGACTTGTATAAATATTGGTTTTAATTCTTCCTTGGGCAAGAAGTGAACTTAGGGTTTCAGTTGTTCTCCCATTTTCTCTCTCTGGTGGCTTCATGCCTCCCTCTTTTGATTGCAATATTTTTGAAAGTTGGAGGAGAGTGACTACAATTATACAATAGAATAATTTTTTCTATGGTATTAGAGCCTCATTTAGGGGTGTAATCCACCCCACATCCTCTTTCTTGCTTGTAAGATACCTCTATTTGTCATTCACTAACAATGATGAACATGAATGATTGATTTGTGACTTGTCGATTGTCATTAGATCATTTTCATGTCACTCTATAAACTAGGATGCATTGGTATGCTATTATCTACTTGAGAGTTTTTTGTGAATGGATTGTTTAGTCTATACATTTAGATTGTTTCAAGAGTGAGTTTGACACAAGATTCATCTCATGACTTTTTCTTTTTTTTTTCTGTTTATTGTGATTTATATTAGAGGATCGGGTTGGTGAGGTTATTTGTGA